ACTTGCGCCACCGTGCTGGGCCCCATACAACTGTTTTCTTAGCTGAGTTTTTCTGTCTCTTGTTGACTGAGAGGGTAAGATGAGAAATTCGTGTGAGCTCTTGGAGCAGTCAGGAGCTCTCCGTGCTTCAGAGTCGTGTACACATGGCTGGGGGATGCAGAGTGTCAGAGTCCCGTCAGTCAGCCCAGCACAGTCCTGCGTGACCGAGTCTGACTAGCGGCCCTGGGCTCTGGCTTCCGCCTATGAGATGGCCAGAGCAGGCCACCGGCAGCGATGTCTTCTAATCTCTGCATTTTCTTTTTTTTTCCTTTTATTTGCTTGCTTTTATGCTCCGCACTTATTGATGTATTGTTTTAATATTGTTTATGTAGTTGAGATGGATGGATGCGCCTATGAGCCTCTGATTAGGATGGGGAGGGTCAGGTGTGGAAGAAGGTGATGGGACAAATGTTTCAGTTTTTTCTTTTCTCTTGTGTTCACAGAGGGAAGGGGGCGCTCTTTGCCGGTCTAACAACATCAGCACCTGGGCATGGGAGGGTGCAGTTGATGATGCCTTAGAAACCCCAATATGGAGAGGAGTGTTCTAAGGGTGTTACTTGAGTGGTCCTGATAGTTTTGACATGTTGTTAGTTTTCTTTGTTCCAGAGTTGAGAAAGTTTTTCTAAGATCTGCTGGTTGACAAAATCCACCCTACTGCATCCACAGACCCAGGAACATGCTGCAAACCTTGGCCAAAATTGTCCAACCTGTTCTACTGACCTATAAGTCATCATGTTCCCTATGTACATCTGAACATATTGTCCATTGCACAGACATCAGCAACCAAGGAGGGCCAGTCCCGATACACTGGCGTTGGTTTAGGTAAAAGGTTTCTTGTTTTTCCCTTGACATCTGGGTCTGATGTTGGGACCACAGGCCAGGACTTCTGGAAATTTCTCACCTGCGAGCTGCTCCTCTGCTTTCAACCTGGCAGGAAGCAGGTGTCCCTGCTCTCCACCCAGCTGTGCTGCAGTCACAGGAAGAGGTGGATTTGGGCATGAAACCACAAGGCTTTTTCAACTCAAGAGTCTTAGTGACTTAATTTTCAGTACGTTACTGGTCTGTTTTTGAGGTAAGGTAAAAGTGAAGGTGAAAATGCACTTGTGAAGAGTGGCCGTGGCCTGTCAGGGAGATGTGGCTCTGTGTATGTATACAATTTAATGACATTCATCTCTCGAGCACTGACTTACATTAACACAGCACACACATGCCATACACACAGACAAAAGGTGGAATGTCAGTTTAACACTTGGGTATATGATGTCAACAGTAAACAACATCCAGAGGGCATCAGTTCCCTCCCCAGAATGCAAATATAAATTAGATCATGTAAACTTAAATAAGGATTTATTGGGGGAAACTCATAAATGACAAAAATAATGGCACAGAGCTAATTATTGAAGCTGTCATTTCATGAGGAGTTAGGCTTGTTTCCAACACGCATTGGACTGCTGTAGGCGGGGGAAGAACCTGAGGAGGACTCTGATGCCTACATGAGTCTTTGTTGGGCATGAAAGCAAAAAAGAAGGTTGAGAAATTTGGCAGAGAATGGAGGAGATAAGAAAAATTCTAGAAGTAAAAAATAAATGAGCAAAAAGTAAACAATTGATGATTATAGTAAACACTGTAGATGTGGTTGAAGATATAGTTAGTGTAATGGATGATGCCCTCGAAGAAACGCCCAAATGAAGAGCAAGCGGGAAATACTGAAGAGTTTTAGTTTATGAAAAACTGGAGCCTCAGCACAAAGGGGAGGCAAGGGCCAGCAGCAATGTTGGAATGGATTAGGATGGAATTTCTCAAAAATGATGAAAGACATTGCTGTACAGGTTCAAGTAATCATGCAATTTCAAGCAGGATTTCCAAGCTTATGAGACTTACTTCTTAACACTGAAGGTAAAACCAAATCCTAAAAATAGTATGAACTGGTTGGGGAAAAGTTTAGATTACTTTAAAAAGAAAAAAAAAAGCACTTAAGAAAAAAAAAAAAACCCAGTTTATCAGCAGAAGCTATGGATGATACAAGGCAATGGAATACTAATTTTAAAGAGCTGAGTGAAAAACATCTTCCAGTTTACGATTTTATACCCTATAAAGTTATTCTTTAAGAAGAAAAATATAAAGAGACTTCCTGAAAAATTAGGATTTCTCATCAAGAGATTCAAACAAAAGGAAATGCTGAAAGGAATTCCTCAAGGAGGGGGGAGATGATCTCTGATGGCTTCCCCGGGATTCCAGGAGTGAAACACAACACAAAGTTGAGTGTCTGGGGGCTGGTGTTGTGGGCACAGCAGGTGAAGCCACCATGGGAATCCCAGTGGGCGTGCCCTTCAGTCTCTGCCTGCTGTGAGTCCAGTCCAGCCTCTGGTAGCACTTCCAGGCAGGCAGCAGATGAGGGTCCAGCTGTTTGGGGCCCAGCCCCCCATGGGAGACCCAGATGTAGTACCTTTCTCCTGGCTTTGGCCTGGCCCATCCCTGGCTGTTGGTGACAGTTGGAGGACTAAAACATCAGGTGGATAGAAGATTCATTCTCTATCACTTTGCCTTTCAAATAGGTGAAAATGAACTTTTTTTTAAAGTTCAGTATCTAAGTAAGAACCTTTTTAACTTAAAACTGTCTGTAGGACTTAAAAATATTTTTAGGCTAATCTATATAATTACAGTGACAAGTTAGGTAAAGTGAAAATATTCATGGTTTCTTGTATTGTCTCAGAAGAGATAAAAATACCAAGTTGTGTTAGATGTTAATGAGCCAAGGATACATATCTCTAGGGTAATTGCTAAGAGAATAGTAAAATAGAAGGCAGCAGACAAGCTAACAAATCTGGACATGGAATAATAAGAAATAAGACAAGGAAGGAAAGAAAAAGGAACATGAGAAGGTAGTTCAAGCAGAAGACAAACAAAAATGCATTAGTGGTTATATTCTGTTTGAATGGACCAAATGGACCAAGTAGTCCACTTAAATAATCAGAATAGATTTTTAAAACCTGTAAGAGGCATGTAAAAGATATGTCTAAAATATAAGGACATGGAAAGGTTAAAAAACAAAAATGCATCATGCAAATTTTAACAAAAAGTAGCTAATATAGCTTTATTAATATCAAACATAATTTCTATTAATATCAAAATAGACTTTAGGCAACAATCATTTATGGGTAAAAGGGATATTTCATTATGCTTATTAGAAATTAAGTTGCCTATTGTCCCTTTCAAGCTAAAGAAATGAAATATTAACAGAATTATAAGGAGAAACAAACCCACAATTGTTTTTTTGAAAGATTTATTTTTATTGGAAAGGCAGATATACAGAGAGGGGGAGAGACAGAGAGGAAAATTTTCTGTCTATTGATTCACTCCCCAAGTAGTAACAATTGGCGGAGCTGTGCCAATCTGAGGCCAGGAGTCAGGAGCCTCTTCCAGGTCTCCCACATGGGTGCAGGGTCACAAGGCTTTGGGCTGTCCTCAACTGCTTTCCCAGGCCACAAGCAGGGAGCTGGATGGGAAGCAGAACTGCCGGGATTAGAAGCGTCGCCCATATGAGATCTCAGCATGTGCAAGATGAGGACTTTATCTGCTAGGCTACTGCGCAGGCCCATAAACCCACAATTATAATAGGACATGTTACTGTATCTCTCAATATTAGAACAAACAGGAAAAGTATCACCAAGCGTAAAAAGATTTTAATAATCCAACTAATAGGGGCCCAACACAGTGGCCTAGTGGCTAAAGTCCTTACCTTGGCCTTGGGCACGCCGGTTTCATCCACTGTCGCCATGCTGTGGTGCCTTCGATGTCTAGTCCAGGGACTGTGTGGAAGGTCTGATTGCAATGCTGCTGACTGAGCGTGGACACATGCCGGGCATTATGTCTAAGCATTCTGAGTGAATGAACTGGTTAACTAGCCCAGGCCTCACCGCTGCCACAGTAGGTAGGACTTGTCATTACCCTTTGTTGGCCCTTGAGAAGTCAAGTGCAGTAGGCTGAACTTTTTTTATGATCTGTCTATGTTCATTCGCCTGTTTTTGCCTCATGCTGACTCAAAGGCCCCAAGATACGTTCTCTTGGACATCAGATCCTGTAGTTAGAAATGCGCCATGCATGGGGCACAGAGGAAGTGAGCACTTGGGAGGAACCTCAGAGAGGCGTCAGAGAGCTGTGCCACTCCGCTCCGCACTGTCCAATCGCTGTCTTGTTACGAGATGGCCTTCTTGCTCCCCACCTTCCCCTAAACTGTGAGCTGAATACACCTTTTCTCTGTCTGGATCCCGTCTCGGGCATTTTGTCACGCTGATGGGAAGTAGACTAGCATACCAGGTTATGCCAGTTGTGACAGTGGTAGCAGAGGCACCACACATCTGGGAGTCAACTGAAGATTGTGGGGACCATAGGGTGAGTCAGGCTGAGCTGGGTTTCACTTCAGCCTTTGTGAGTCTGCAGGATATTGAGTGAGTCTGGCTCAAATATGTTGTTGCATTTGCTGTCTTGACTGTAACTATTAAAATATCTATTTAAGGGGTGGGGGGGGGGAAGAGTTGGAGAAGGAGAGGAAGAGGGAGAAAGGGAGAGTCCCCAGCTGCTGGTTCGTCTTCTGTAAGATTGCATCAGACAGTCTAAGTCCCGTCCCAGTCTCCTCCAGGGGGGACAAGGACCCCAGTCCTTCACCTGCAGCTCCCAAGGACGTGATTAGCAGGAAGCTGGGATTGGACGTGGAGGTGGGACTCAAGCCCAGCAGTCCTTAAGGGAGGCAGGCGTCTCCCCTGGCAGCTTAACTGCAGCACCACATACCTACCCTGGTTTAACTGTTTCACATAGAACCTTAATTTTGATGTGGATAAAATAATGATTGTATTTTAATGTCAAGTTAAATTTTTACCTTTTTAAAACTGATTTACTTACTGTACTAATTAATTATACCATTATAATACTAAAGTAATCATTGGTATTCTTATTCACTGTAGCTTATCAGACGAGGATGAAGAGGGAACCACCAGGCAGGACTGCATCATCTCTGACCCCTCCTTTTCCATGGTGGCCGTTCAACGGGAGGACAGTGGGATCACCTGGGAGACCCACTCGAGTGGATCTTCCACTCCCTGGGCCTCAGAAGAGAGTCAGACTTCTGGTGTGTACAGTCCAGAAGGGTCAACTGTGAGTTCTCCCCCAGGGAATGTTTCCTTTGCTGTGGGAGAAGTTAAAAAGGGCCGGAAAAGGGCTCACAGGTCAAAGCCAGGCTCACCATCACTGCGTCGGAAGGGCACCAGAAGAAAGAATTCGGCTGACTCCCAAGCTGTTGCCACCACCAACAAAGACAGCCCTTTAGTCGCAGGAAGCCTAAGCGCTAAGAAGGAACAGTTGTCTGCCGGCCTTTCTGACAGAGCAAGGAAGAAGACCACCTCCAACACACCCCCCATCACCGGGGCCATTTACAAGGAGCATAAGCCGCTGGTGCTCAGGCCTGTCTACATTGGAACGGTGCAGTACAAGATCAAGATGTTCAATTCAGTGAAGGAAGAGCTGATCCCACTGCAGTTTTATGGGACGTTGCCGAAGGGTTACGTCATTAAAGAAATACATTACAGGAAAGGAAAGGAGGCCTCCATTAGTCTGGAGCCAGACATGGGCAGTCGTGAGGCTGGTAGGGTTTCCCATGTGGACAAAGTGGCAGCTCGGAGCCGGGAGGACAGCACGAAGGAGCCTTCTCCCCCCTGGAGGAATGCACTCTCCAAAGGGCGTCCAGCCCTGTCCTCACTGGCCAGTCCCCAGGACCGAAAGGAAAGGTTTGTGGATGCTCCATTAAGGACCACCTCAGAAGCTGTGCACACAGGAAGTGGGGAGACGCAGCTCAGGGCCTTGCCATCTGTGTCACAGCAGCTGGGTCAGGAGGCCAAAGCCCCGGCAATGGGGCCTTCCCCTCCTGCCCGTCATTCACCCATGTTCCTGGAATCTGCCAGGGAAGAGCTTGAGCCTGGTTCACCAGCAATGGCAGCTTCAGAGAAGGACTCCAAGGCTGGGCCCTCACCAGTGGAGGAGGTGAGGAAGGAGGAAGTGAGGAAGGAGGAGGTGAGGAAGGAGGAGGTGGAAGATGGTGCCCTAGAGGCAGGGCCACCGGGCTTGACAGAGTTTCCACAGGAATCCATGGGTTCTGATGAAGAGGAGCCGGACCTGGCCTCACCGGAACCGGCAGCGTTGGAGTCTGAACCATGGACCCCTCCTCATGCCGGGGTCAGAGGAGAGCCTGAAGGCCGCCCTCCTGAGCCCCCCGTGGTGGAGGAAGCAGAGGAGAAAGAACCAGAACCTCCGCTACTCCTAGGTGCTTCGCCCGAGCCCGAGGACTTTGATTTGGCAGAGGAGGAGGTGATCGAACTGGAGTACCCCGACAGCCCGCTGCCCTCCGAACAGAGCTTCCCGCCCCGGCGGCCGGCTGAGCTGGAGGACGAGGAGACCCGGCTGCCCGCGCCGGCTGCGTGGACGCGGGACCGCGTGGCCCTGGCTGAGGAAGAACGAGAGGAAAGCGAGTCAGTTTCCACAGATTCTGCTTTCGTGTCCGAGTTCTCGGTGCCACAGGGCTCACAACGTGGGGCGCAGGAGGAGGAGGAGGTTTCTTCTCCTCCAGCTGACTCCGAACCCGCAGTCTGGTCGGAAGGAGAGAGCGAGGCTCTGGGGTGGCAGTCCCCGCTGTCCTCAACCATGTCCCCTGGCCTCTCGGCTGATGAGGGCACCAAAAGCGGGTGGGAGTCCGAGGCGGCCTGGGACAGCTCAGAGTCCCTGAGGAAAGCTCCGGAGCCCACGGTGCCGCTCAGCTCCGAGCGCGCTCCTGAGCCCCTGGCTCTGCCAGGAGAGGAGGACGCTGCAGCCCACTCCCCAGCCCCGGCATCCCAGAGGACCCCCGAGCTCTCCACACAGCCTTCCGCTACCTCAGATCTGCCGGTCACCTCAGGAGGGGGTACAGGAACTGAGCCTTCCATGCAGGATGCAAAACTTGTCCCCAAGTATGCGAGCACCCCACAGGAGTCCTCAAAGGAAATAATTGATGAGGTGCCCCAACTCACAACAAAAGCTGTTTCTGAGCACGTGATCCTGTCAGAAGAGAAGGCAGATGCTGGCCCAGATGTGGCCTCAGTGCCTGGGCACTCGCTGGCACCAGGCACCCCCGAGAAGCCCCCCGAGGGCCGGGCTCCGCTGCCCCCCACTGCCACCTTGGAGCTCCCAGTCCCACCAGGAGAGGGCCCAGCTAATGAGCCTTTCACCCCGGCTTCCAAACTGGCCTCCAAATATGCGGTTCCACCCAACACCACACAGGAATCCCAAAAGGAAATCATTGACAAGGGATCGGAAGATGTTTCTGAGTGTGTGATACCAACAGAGGAAAAGGAAGATGCTAGACCTCAACCCCCGGATTCAAAACTCATTTTCAAACACGCAGTTCCACCAGATGCCGCCCAAGAATCTCAAAAGGAAATAATTCAGGACCTGCCGCAACTCAGGTCGAAAAATGTTTCTGAGCAAACGATCTTGTCAGAAGAAGACACCAAGCCACATCCCCCAGATTCAGAATTCGTTTCCCAACACGCAACTCCACTTACCGCCATGCAGGAATCCCAAAAGGAAATCACCAATGAGAAGCCACAACTCGGATCAAAAGGTGTTTCTGCACATGCAATCCTGTCAGAAAAAAAGAATGAAGACGTTGGACCAGTTGTGGCCTCCGTGTCCGAACACCCTCTGCCCCAGCACACCCCAGAAAGGGTCACTGAGTGTCAGGCCCCAGCAGAAGCGGTGCCAGTGGAGCTGGAGCCGTACATACCATCTTCCATGTCCACATCAACATTTTCTGCACCTCCAGAGTTGCTGGAGGAGGAAATTGTTTGCAGTTCCCCTGAGAACCTAAAAGCGGCCTCATCTGCCGAGAGTCTCTCAGAGCAGGAGAGAGGAGACATTGGGCCTTTTTCTCCAGACTCTGCATTTGTTTCAGAATTCTCGTTTCCACCTTCTGTGGCTCAGGGCTCAGAGAGAAGAGAGCTGGAGTGTGACTCGCCAGTGTATTTAACCTCCCCCTCTGATCACACGGTGTTCTCGGACGAAGACACTGGAGACACCGAGCTCTTTTCTCCAGACTCAGCCTCACAGGTTTCAGTCCCGCCCTACAGAAGCCCCGAAACAGAGAATGAAATTGAGCTGGGCTGCTTGCTCACTGGCCGGCATGCTTCCAGTTATCCCTGCTCTCCGGGAGCGGACCAAGAAGATGGTGGATCAGCTGCTACCACCCCCGTGCCGGAGCACTTCGATTCTTCACCGGAGCAAAACGTACCTAGAGTGGTGAGTCCACCACCTTCAACAACACAGGAGGAAGAAGCCGAAATTAAGCCAGATGCCCAAATCACCTCAACATCTGTATCTGAATATCTCATCAGGATGCAGCAGCAGGCTTTCCTAGAGCCTGAGTCTGCAGAGTTGAGCAATGAGACCGAGAAGGGAGACATCAAGATGGGCAGGGCAGGAGCCACTTCACCACCTTTGTCAGCTGCACAGTCGTCCGTGGTGAAGGAGAACCGGCCCATTTCGCCCGCCTCCCAGCATTCAGTGCATGCCGTGGGCAAAGACCAGGAACCCAAAGTGTCAGACACTTTAAAAGCTGCAGGTGAACAGATGGCATTGCCAAAAGCCAGAGAGAGGGAAACTGTGCCTCATTCTCAAGAAGCAACAGCACAGGTGTCACAGGCTCAGAAGACAGAGCCACAGCCTCCACATGTTCCCAGGGCTGAGACAAAACTGTCGGCTCTGCCTGGCTTGGTAGAGGAGCCAAAGAAGGAAGTCAAACCCGATTTAGCTGCAAGTGCAGCTTCTGAACCCGGGCGGAGGGTGTTAAAGGATGAGTCGGAAGCAGCGAAGCCTCATTCACCCCTGAAAGAGACATTTTCACCTGGACCTGAGATTTCATTAGGCGTGAAAAAGGAGGTAAAATATGATTCTAAAACCATGAAGACACCCAGCGCCCTTTCCACTGCTTCTCCAGCAGCAGGAAGGGAAGTTGAGAAGGATCTGCCTTCATCGGCAGTTTCGGCTTCATCAGAAGAAATTGAGCCTATGTCATCTACAACCTCAACATCTACAGCTAAGTTTGATGCAAATCTTACCAAAGTGGAAATAGGAGCAGGTGTATCTCTCGCCACTCACGTGGAAGGGGCAGCCCTGGCCCAGGCGGGACAACACGCCCTCGGAGGTGGTTTGTTCCCACCTGCTAAGTCTGGAGATGTGCATGCAGTTCTCATAGAAGAAGCCAAAGAGGCAGCAATTCCAAGAGCTGCTGCTCTCCCTGAAGCAAATCTATCCAAAGGCTCTGCTTCGTCAGAAGCAGGGAAAGGAATTACGTTGCCTCCAATGCCACATGTGCCCTCTGCACCAGAATGTGAGATTTTACCAAGGGTAGGAATAGAAGAAGTGAAACCCGGGTTACCACTAAGCAAGCTGTGCTCCGAAGTATCTGAGGAAGCAAGGGTGGGAGATGAACAAAGCGGCTTGCCGTCCGCAGTCCACGATGCTGAACATTCTCAGAAGAAGCACCTGGTCTCTGTTCCAGCAGCACCAGTGCCTGCACAGGAGCTTTCGCACGGCTTTGGTAGTGAGAGCCAGAGAGAAGAAGCAGAGTTCCCATTGTTGCAGACTGTGACACCTGTAGTCCAACGCACAGTTCCTGAAGACAGAGGGTGGGAAATAGCAGGCACTCCCGAGGTGGGAAATGTAGCATCAGCAGATTCAGCCCTGACAGTCCTGACCACCACGCAGAGGGCTGCAGCCCAGGGAGACATCCTGTTAGAAAACCATGACCTTGTTCAGGCAGCACTTTCTCTGGAGCCTGAAAAGAAAGTAAGGCCACAGAAACTACCAGAATTGCCAGAGGCCATGCCTGTTGGCACTGAAGGTGTAGACAGAAGCTCTGTAGGAATAAAACAAGCAGGGGTCTCTATCTTAGAAAAGAGCCAAGGCGAGCCAAGGGACAGGGAAGGGGAAAGCAAGAAGCGTCCTGTTTCTGCCAGGGAACCATCAAAGACCGTGTCCAACCTTCAAATGCAACAGGAGCAGCTGGAAAAGGCACACGCTTTGGATCAAGCCATCGAATCACCCGGTGTAAGCAGCTCTTTTGCAGACGAGCAAGGTTTGGGTATTAAACAACTTCCGATTTTGAAACAGAACCTGCCTCTGGAACAATCAAGATCCAGTAAGGGAACCGAATCTGCAGATATCAAAGAGGTGCTGATTTCTCCCAAGGATAAGAAGGGGACACTGGCAAAGCCAGAAAACGTGGCCAGCGAACAGGAGGAAAGAAGGCTGGGACCTGTGCAGCTGGAATCTGCTGGGAGCAGAGACCGCATGACAGGACAGCTCCAGGCTGGGGAAACCTGGTCAACCAAGGCTTCCTCTCTTGAGGAACGACAGCTGGCTCAAGAACCAACACCTCCAGTTCTGGCTGAAAATGTAGAGACGAGCTTGACAGAGGAGAGGCAGCCCCATTCTGTGGTGGGAAGGGAGAGTCTGACATCGCAGAAGGCAGACACAGAGCTCCCCAGGCCTCGTGAAGAGGAGTTCCAGGAAGAAACCAAGCTATATCCTGCAGGAACCATCCAAAAAGCACCAGAGTTTGGTCTGTTTACCGAGGAAGGCAAGTCAGAGGCTATCCAGTCTCCTGCCCAAGCCGCGCCTGAGCTTGCTAATGGCTATGAACCGGAATCTCACAGATTACCTGCTGAGAAGCCATTAGAAGACGCAGGAGGGGTCCTGCCAAAGGTTATAGGTGATGCTAATGAGGGAAAGACAGCTGCCTCTGCCATGAAAATTCTCCCGCAAGGGCCAGCCCTCTCCCCAATCCCAGCCAAGGAAGAACCTCAACCTCCAGATGTCCCAGATGAGGCCCAGCAGCTGTGTGCGCAGCCAAAGGCAGCAGAGCCAGCTGTGCCCGAGGAAAAGGCAAAGAAAGGAATTTCCTCTTTTAAGTCCTGGATGTCCAGTTTGCTCTTTGGATCAAGCACTCCAGATAACAAAGTTGCCAAAAAAGATGTGGAACCTCCGCCGTGTCCCCCTGCCACAAGTGTGGGGACCCTGAGTGTGCTGGAAGGTGAGAGTCCCACGGCAGCTCGGAAGCCAGGGACGAGACCTGTAGCTGCTGCGGCCACACCTGCTGAAGGTCAAGACCTTAGAGAAACATTGCTGGTCTCTTCAAAAGTGGAGGCTTTAGAACAGGCACAGTCCAGCTCTGAGGCATCCAGAGATCGTGAGAGGGAAGCTGTACCCTGCTTAAGGGAGGAGGACAGAAACTCAGCAGCTCCTTCTGCTGGTGGCAGGGACCATGTGGGAATTCAGCCCTCTACTACCACAAGTGAAAAATTGGCCATTGTGACTGATGGTAAAAGACACCAGAAGCCAGCCATTTCTCCTCCCTCTGAGTGGACTGTTTCTCTTCAGGAGGGACCAAGAAGTGATCAGAAAGAAGAATCACTCTCTTCATTTGGCATTGTCGATAAGACGCCACAGCGACCCAAACCAGCTTCATCTGACTTCACAAGCAGGAGTGTCATGGAGCAATCAAAGAAGCCAGAGTTGATCATTTTGCAAGGAGAAGAACCAAAAGGCATCGTAGCTGCTGTTGAAGAAGGCAGGCTAAAGAGAGACCAGCCAGAATCCATTTCTTCAAGAAATTTTGGGCAGGAAACAAAACTCAGATCTGCCAGCCCCACAGAGGAGAAGGATAACTCAGAGACCACATCCTGGATGTTGGCTGAAGAGCAGGTGCTGGCAGAAAGACAGAAAACGAAGGTCCCATTAGAGTTCATAGAAGACAAGGAGATAGGAAGGGCACATATCATGTACAAATTGGAAGAATCCAAGACAGCCACACCGCTGCAGCTTATCAGTCAACGTGGCGACCGCAAGGAAAGCTCTGGAGTTGTTGGTTCTGAGCAGGACGGGGAAGAGGTAAGAGAGAAGCAGCTGCCTGTGTTTTCAGAGGAGAAGCAGCAGCGGGAAGGGGCCGTGTCTGTGCCTGAAGAATCAGAGGTCACTTTAGTACGTTCTTTGGGTGAAACGGAATCGTTCTCCTTAGTTAAAATGACATCAGTGATTGAAAAACCAGAAAGCGTTGTCTTAGAGATTCACCCTGAAATCAGGGAAGCAGAGGTGGGAGGAGCCCCGCCACAGGCGTTAGAAGACAGAGTTTCAACGGAGAAAGACAGAAGCTTCCATCCAGAGGATCTTCCTTACCATGACAAAATGGGTAAGCATTCTTTACCTCCAGAAGGAGACTTGGCATTTGAAAAATCACACCGGGGTGTATTAAGCATCCCCAGTGAGGAAAAGGGACTCGTGCCAGTGTTGGAGCCAGCTGAGCCTGGAGCTCCAGCAGGAGACTCTGAAGGAACTTTAGTTGATCTTCCTGAGGAAACAAAGAGCTTAGAGACACCACCACGTCTGCTGTCACCTCCAAAACCACCAACTCGGGCTTCAAAAGAACTCACAGCAGTGAATGCAGAGAAAAACCGGGAAGTGCCACAGCCAGACTGGACCCCAGAACGCCACACAGTCCATACTGTGCAAACACCCAGAGCCACCTCCTCTGCTGTGCCCACCCAATCCATTCTTGTCTCAAGGCAGCACGTGGCAGCCGCAGCAGGTGCCTGTGCAAGTGAACCGTTGTCCCCAGCAAGAAGCAACTATGCTGAATTTATAGCCAGTGCATCGGCAGCCAGTGCTGATAAAACGGCTCCTACTAAAGAAACGCCCGAGAAGGCCAAAGAAGAGGAGCTCACGATGACCAGTAAGCCAGCCGGGCTTTCGGAAGATCAGAAGAGCGCCTTCAGCATTATCTCAGAGGGCTGTGAGATACTGAACATTCACGCCCCTGCCTTTATTCCCTCCGTTGATCAGGAAGAAAGTGAACACATGCAAGATAAGTTAGAATATTTGGTTGAGAATGTCTCAATTAAAACCATGGCACACCATGTGGATCGCGAGGCAGCTGCTGTCCATGAAGTTCCACGGAGCAACCTAGCAGATGCTGCTGGGAAAGTCACATCTCTCAAAGAAAACGAACAGCCACATGATCGCGAAACGCAAGAGGAGCCACGCCCAGAAGCTGATGCTTTAGTTTTTGCTCCGCCCACAATCCCCAGTGAAGAGGATTACTTTGAAAAATATACTCTGATTGATTATAACATCTCGCCAGACCCGGAGAGGCAGCAACCTCCACGGAGGTTAAGGGTTGAAGAGGAACTCTCAAAGGAAATAACTGAAGAAACGATGGGAGACGAAACGGTCCTGGAACAAGAATATGACTTGGTGCAACTAGATGAAAGCTTTTATGGCCTGGAAAAGGACCACAGCAAATTATCTCACCCAGAGACCCAGCAGTCTTTGCTTGTTCAGCCTGGTGAAGATGTTTCACAGGCAGACCACAGAGGCAGCGACTCCAAGGCACCCGGGATGCCTTTATTTGACAAAGAGGAGGGAGTTCTGTCGAGAACCCAGATATTTCCTACCACCGTCAAAGCTGTCAACCCCGAGCTTCTGGAGCAACCTCCTGCACTTGCGTTTTTATATAAGGATCTCTATGACGAGGCAGTCGGAGAGAGAAAGCAGGAAGAGGAGACGGCTTCTGAAGGTGACAGCGTGAACTCAGAGGCTTCGTTTCCAAGCAGGAAATCTGACATTGATGATGGAACAGGAATGTATTTCGAGAAGTACATCCTCAAAGATGACATTCTCCATGACACTCCTGCACCTCAGAAGGACCAAGGCCAAGGGCTGGAAGACGAACCCACTGAGAAGGATGAGTCATACCAACCGATGGCTGCAGGCAGGGAGATCTGGGACAGGTTTGGAACTGTTTTGGGGAAGAAGAGTCTGGAAGAGGAGCAGAGAGCCATGTACAGGGAAGGAGAAGCAGAGGGCCGAGTGGAGACCCCCAGTGATGCAGCAGTGCGGCTGAGAGAGGCTCCCGTCGTGGAAGAAGTCACAGCAGCGGCCCAAGAGATGAGCTATGCGGTTCCATTTGTGGACACTCCCCATGCCCTGGCACCCGTGGAGGAGGAGACAAGTCAGGGAAGTGAGGCAGCACATGCAGGTCCAGAGGGTGGCCTGAATGTCCCCGTACAAGTGTCCTTCCCTGACGAGGAGTCCGCATCCCTCCTTACTCACATTGAGGAGGCAGCACAAGAGGAACCTCAGAGACCAGCCCCGCCTGAGCCAAGCCTGGGGAGGCTGCGCAATAGCCCTGTGCAAGATGAATACCCGTTTGCTGAGCCACTTGGCTATGCAGGCGTTTCATCAGGAGAACTGAGTTCAGAAGCCACGCCCAGAGATGCATCTGAAGGCCAGGAGTCCTTGGAGTGGGAGGTGGAACAGCGCTCATCTGCCAAGCAAGATGAAGAGGGCAGAGAGAGGACTGCCCCAGACCACGTGTCCTCAGAGCCTGCGATCGAGAAGGCATCAAGGGAGCCAAAAAGGGCCCAGGTTGACACGTATTGCTGCACCTGCAAGAGCCCGATCTCAGCTCTTGATAAGATGAAGGGCACCCACAAAGACCACGAGGTTTCCACGCTTGACACAGCCATAAGCGCCGTGAAGGTGGGTAGACTTTAAACCTTATGGATAGCAGTACAAGTACAGTGCATTTGTGTTCCCATTGTCTCCAGTTAGAAGAAGACAAATGTTTGAAGCCTTCATCTTTAAGCAGAGAAATTAACTGAAAACAGGTTGGTTTGACATCTGTTTATTTGGTATTCGCTGAGTGCCTGGCATTTTCAGAGAGCCTGGAGACACCGGGACAAATAATCATTGGAACATGGCTTTGGACAGTTCATCACCTTACAACAAAACTAAATTTTAACATTATCTTGGCCCCAAATTTGAAGTTTAAGCACACCTTTTTTTTTTTTTTTTAAAGATTTATTTTTATTATTTTGTTATTGGAAAGGTGGATATACAGAGAGGAGAGACAGAGAGGAAGATCTTCCATCCGATGATTCACTCCCCAAGTGAGCGCAACGGGTCGATACTATGCCGATCCGAAGCCAGGAGCCTCTTCCGGGTCTCCCACGCGGGTGCAGGTTCCCAAAGCTTTGGGCTGTCCTCAACTGCTTTCCCTGGCCACAAGCAGGGAGCTGGAAGGGAAGCGGGGCTGCCGGGATTAGAACCGGCGCCCATATGGGATCTCGGGCGTGCAAGGCGAGGACCTTTAACCACTTGCGCCACCGCGCCGGGCCCGTTTAAGCACACCTTTAAGCATAAATTATAACTCACTTTCTATCATCCTTTGGTGTTATCCTTTAAAATTATACATAGGACATTGAATTTTGTTATATTGTACATATAGACTCAGAAAGTAAGATATTATTAGATTTCTGTTTTCTGCATGCTTCCTTTCATGTACAAAATTTAAACGAGAAATAGAGAATTCTCACATTGCTGGCTGTGTCTTAGGACCCTGATGTTTCACCCGAAACGTTAATCACCACATACATCATTGTGTCTGTGACGACAGGGATGCTGCATCCAACACACCACTGGAATTCAGCATCACACTTGGAGCCTCCTACCTGCCTTCCCGTGGTCTGCCACCCATCTCCCTGCTCTTGCCCGATACAAAAGTGGGAAGGATCTTCAAAGGGCTGAGCGTGGTCTCTGTACAAGGCATGGCTTTACATCCTTGGCATACAGGATGGTTTTGGGTCTTCACAGGAATCTTTCCACTGCTGTCAATTTGCGGCTGGTGAAATGGGCTCAGAGAGATTATGCAGTTTGCCGTAGGCCATGCGTGGCAGGCTAGGTCCCTGGGTCTGTCTGATTCCAGGGCTCACACTCTTGTCTTGCTTAGTGATTTTCATTCAGTTAAGTTCAAATTGGAATTCTGGCATTCCTCTCCACCCCGCACAAAGCTAGTCCTTAGTTTGATGTAGATTCTGTTTTCACAAGGTGAAATTCTATTGGAACTCTATCTGTTCAAGTTTGGGGATAGGGAGAGGACAGGTTCTTTTATGGAATCAGACCTGTGGCACATAGGCTGCAGTGAAGTGAATGCATTCATTCACCTGCCGGGTGCTATGAGCAGAAAGAGGCTGGAGTATTCTCAACCATATAATTTATGTATTATCTGTGTGAGTTTTGTAAATTTAATCATTATCCAGATATTGTGAATTCAAGAAGAGTGGGGAGAAAGAGGTAGAGGGAGAGGGTGTCTCCTCTATTAGCAATCTTTTGCCATGTTTCCTGCCTGATTTCTCTGTTCTGAGAAGTAACAGAAGGAGGAAGCAGAAACCAGGCTGACTGAAGGGGAATCTCTTACTTGATGAGGTCCACTGTGAAGATTATGGCTTACAAACAAGAATTAACTGAGAGAAGTTGTGGCAGAGAGTTCCCCAGCATGCATGGATGGCTCTGGTGCCCCTCAGGTGCCACCTCAAGGGTTGATGGATACAGGCTTTCCCTCCTCAGTCTGTCCCCATCCCAATGCCTTAGCTTTTGTCACTCCTCTCTCTTAACGTAGATGGAGCTACCCTGAGAAATCATACTCTGTGTGTGTGTGTGCGCGCATGAGCAAGGGTGTTGAATAGCTGAGGGTTGGTTAGGGACGGTGTTTCTCAAAGGTAAACTTGGAGAGACTTAAGTGAAAAGGATCACTTACTGCAATCAAGGGCAGGAAGAACATTCTAGAGACTGGGAGGACCATAGGAAAAGGCAGTCAGGTGTGAATGGGTCCAAAGAAGAGAGAGCTTGTGTGGTGCGAGCCTGGGGATGATGGGAGCCTTGTGTGGGGAGCGTGGGGGCCATGGGAGGAAGTAGGGGCTGGATCCTGAAGAGGCACCCGTCAAGGCCAACCAGGGTCGCACTTTGCTCTTTCCATGGTTGATCTGGTTCTCTACCGGGCTGCTGAGTGCCTTTAGCAGAACAGGTGTCTAACTGTGGTTAGAGTGGGTGCCATCCCTCCAGGCACAGTCCTGAGTGTCCTAACTGTTGGGTCCCTGTGCGGATGGTCCCTGTCACTGGTGTGCTGGACTTTGAACCGCAGAGATGTCCTCACATTTTCAGGGTTAGGTTCTCCAGGCAGAGCTGAGGCCCAAGGTGTGTGGGACTAGTTCAGCAAAGATGCTGCTGCTCCTGGGATGCGGGAGTCCTTGCCAAACAGAAAGATTCACATCCACCCAAGACTGCTTTGCATGAGAAAGTACATTGTCTTGGTGGAATGGCTTGGAGTTGGGGCTGACACTCACAGACCTCCTAATTAACTACGGTCCGTTTAAATGAAGCAGTGAAAGAAACAATTTGAAGATCGACTTATGAGTGAATTCAGTTTAGCAAAACTTGCTGAACTTATAGGACTATGGGAGCCACTTCTCCAAATCATTGGCTAAGGACCTCTTCATTCTTTCCCTCAGGTTCAATTAGCAGAATTTCTGGAAAATTTGCAAGAAAAGTCCTTGAGGATCGAAGCCTTTGTTGGTGAGATAGAATCCTTCTTTAACACCGTGGAGGTAAGTTCTCTCTTTCTCTCCATCCTGGTCTGTGCGTAGCTCAGAGGCTCTGAGCCAAAAGGGATGGACCTGGGTCGCTGGGGACATGTGTTGGTTGCCATCGGAGGTTTTGTTCCACTCAGAGTGAGAGTTCTGGAATCTCCTGGTGGTGTGTAACTGGCTGGACTTCCTGCTGCCCACAGATGAAAGATTTGCCTTGGAAAACACACACACACACACACACACACACACACACACACACACACACACACACACACACACACGGAGCACTTACTGCCTGGGCAATGCTCTGTAAGCTTCCTCTGACTTTACTCTCACTATAAGCCATGAGGTTATTAATGCTCCCATGTTAGAGATGAGACACTAAGACATGAGTTCAGTATCATGTTCCACTTGCCTCTCACTGGGTTAGCCCTGTGAAGGATCCTGAGGGGGTCACTGTCTGTGTGCAGGCTCAGGCCACTGGGGTCTGCTATGCTACAGCTTGCCCAGCTGCTGTGCCCGCCTGCCCCTTGCTGTACTGTGGTCTTCTGCAGAGATGGCTCAGCTCCCTCACTTGTCAATCAGGAGCAGCACAGGGCCCGAGGCTACTGCGGAAGACTGGGCACAGCCATCTGGTGCCAGGCAACTCCACATCCTGGTTTGCTTGTGGGAGACTTGAACTGCTGCTGTAGTCCATGCAGTTGCTTTGAGTGCCCCCTCATTTAAGGATGTCTTTTGAGCATGGATAATGTAAATTATGATTGCCCCACAAATCCTGCTCTGGCAGATGTCTGCGCTTGTCCAAATGGCCAGTAAGCCTCTGCCACAGTGGAAACAGCCACCCCACCAGAGAGCACTGGGCAGACAGTGCCCCCACAGAGAACACTGGGCAGGCAGTGCCCTGTGGTATCCTGGTAGCACCTTCCCTCACACTGTGACAGTGGTGGAGCTGAGAAAACGGCACCTGGCTCTCTCCAGTCCCTGAAGGCCAGGCTCCCCACCCTTGTTGGAACACAATGAGTGGGCAAGACTTTGATGCCAACGCCCTTGAAGCAATGACCTGCCTCCTGTGTGATACCCTGACCGTGAATTCTGTTGCACGGCTAATGGTGGCAAAGGGGGTTGCTAGGTTGGAACTGTAGGCAGGGCACTGTTCTGGTGCCAGAGGCTAGTTCTTTAAAAGGCTGATGTGTCTCTCAAAAAGCAGAAAAGGGGGCTGATGGTATGGCCAGGTGGGCTAGCATGTCAGCATCCCGTATCGGGGCCCTAATTCAAACCCTGGCTGGCCAGTTCCCCCGTCACACTCCTTGCTTGGAAACTTGGACCCCTGTTATTTAGGGGATCCAGATGAAGCTCTGGCTCCTGGTTTTGGCCTATAAAAACTCCAGTTAATGTGGCCAATTGGGGAGTGAGCCAGTGGATAGAAGATCACTCTCTTTTTCCCCAATCTATCCCTCTATCACTTTGCTTTTCAATATAAATAGATTTTTTTAAAAGAAAAGCAAAAGCACACACTTTGTGCCTCACTCAGAAGTGGCATTCTGGCTTTGTTTTCAGGAAAACTGCAGTAAAAATGAGAAGAGACTGGAGGAGCAGAATGAGCAGATGATGAAGAAGGTTCTGGCACAGTATGATGAGAAGGCCCAGGGCTTCGAGGAGCTGAAGAGGAGGAAGATGGAGTTCCTGCATGACCAGATGGTGCGCTTCCTGCAGAGCATGGACTCGGCCAAGGACACCCTGGAGAGCATCGTCAGGGAGGCCGAGGAGCTCGATGAGGCCGTGTTCTTGACCGTAAGCACAGCCGGGCACAAGCCCGCCTCCTAAACATCACCTTTCCACAGTCTGTCCCATTGGGGGCCTTAACGTTGAGTCCAATGCCTGAAGGAAAGGGCCCTGAAATAGCAGAATGGTCCCCGGTGCCAGGCGAGTGTATCACTGTCCTGGCTGCCACTCTGCCCTGGTCACCTTCTCAAAGGGAGAGAAGCAGCTGCAGAGGCCTGTTGATGCCACACTCTCGCTGTTAGGGCCAGCCCCATCTCCTGGTACCTTCGGCTGGCCCCAGGGCTTGTCCTGCCCCTGCCCTAATTTGTGGTGACCCCTTGTGTAGTCTTCCCTTTTCCCCCCTCTCAGCTGGCCATGTGGCTAACGGTAGCAATGGTGTCCCCTATTAGTACACACAAGGGTGACAGAATACGGTCACTCTCTCAGTGTGTCCAAGCAAGGGACTGTTCCACTGAAGCCAGTCAGTGGTGACAGACAAGTCCCTTGAGACTGCCCGAAGGCCCCAAGAGGGCAGGCTGCCTGCTGCTTACAGCTGCTGGCTCTCCAGGAGCAGGAGTAACCAGGGGTTTCTGGGAGTAGAGGTCAGCCTGGAGGGCAGCCTAAGCCCCATCAACCACTAGGCACAGCACCTTCTCAAGACAGTGATGTGGCCTCACCTTCCCGTGTTCCCTCCTACCAGGGATAAAGTGTGAGCATTAAGGACCAAACAGAACAGGACAGTGTGCAGCTTCCTGTTTGTTTCTGGGGACACTGCCAGCCAGAGCAAACCTGACCGTGGCCTCTGCAAGGGGAGCTCAGACCGCTAGGCTGTGCCAGGCTGGAGGAAGGCTGAGCGCCCACAGTGATGCCTGCAGTTCCTCAGGTGGAATGGACGGTTAGGACAGTGCTTGCTGTTTCCTGAGTAGCCTGTTCTGGCTTTTAATGAGAGCATTTCCCTCTGTCTGGAAGAACAATTTTTTGTTTAGGATCTCCACCCACTGCTTACATAAGATCTGTGCGTTTTGGAAAAAACCTGGAAACTACAGAGATGCATGGGGAAGAGACTCCTGCAATGACATTTGGTATTGAGCCCGCAACAACCACGTTCAAGTCATTTTTCTTGCTTTGGAGACTTCTGGAAGCATAGCTGTGGGTAGTGAGTAGAGAGGAGGCTGCACACAGGCCACTGGTCAGAGGACAGAGCCAGACTCTGCAGCGTCTGGGTGGCGTCCTCATTGTCCCCAGCCCCCAGCTCCTTTTCCTTCTCACCTAGGTGGCAACTAAGGCAGAGGAAGGAGAAGGGAGGGGAAGTGCAGGCTTAGAGATTTTTCTTGCTTTTCCTTGTTGTTAACTAGTCTCTCTCTTTTTCTCTCTCTCCTTGCCTACACTCCGTTCTCCCTCTAAGTCGTTTGAGGAAATCAATGGCAGGTACACACTCTGGGGTGCAGTGCAGAGGCGCCTGGAAATGGCATGGCTGATGGCTTAGCTTTTCGTGTTTCAATGCTTTGTAGAGACTGAGCTGCCGAGGTGGAACTGCATAGCGTGAGCTGCTGGCTTTCTTGCTTGTAGACACAGTGCTCATCAAAGCTAAGTGACAGCTTTCAAAGAAAATTGCATGTGCTTCAGTTCAGTAATAGTGATCATTAACTAGGTTTCTAACTGCTTCTTTGAGATGTGTTCTGCATTGTCAGCCTAATCGAGACCATCTGCCTGTCACTACGCACAAAAAATTGTGTAGATTCTTAGACTTATTGGTTAAATATAATATTTGAGCAAATCATTGAGCTCTGCCTTGAGTGGTTTTGTGACTTATGTAATCCTAATGGAATGTTATCTCATTTTCTTTTCAAAAGGGAGTCATACATTTATCTTCTCTTTTTGTTCAGCTAACCTCAGTGAACTCTCCTTTTTAAATTTCCCTTTAACACTCAATCTAAGAGGATTCTTCTTTCTTTTGAAAGGAAAAGCACCCAACAAGAAATTAGAAAATGTTCATTAAAATCATGTCATACAATGCATACATTGGTTATTGAAACATCACACAGTAACCCCTAAATGGGTATGATTTTTTAGGGGTCAATTAACACAAAATCTAAAAAGAAAAAACAAGCATATGATGTTAAAATTCTTGGACCACCCTGCCACTGTGTCTCTCTTGCCCCAAGGCAGGGCTTGAGGTCTCTGCAGCTGACTGGGTCTATTGTTTTATCATTTCAGAGTAATTTTGAATGCAGTTCCTAAACTGTGAATATTGTCTCCAGTTTACTTTCATGTCAGTTCGATGTGCAGCACAGTATTGTGTGCCCTTGACCCTTTAAAACATGGGAGATGGATGTGTTTTAGAAACCTGATCATTTTGGATCGTTGAAACCTCACAGATGAATCCTATTTGCTCATTAAAGCGTCACTCTGCAGAGCAGTGCCAACATGTCCTTTGAAAATGATTTGTATATGTGTCGTCAGTATGGGGTTGGTAAAGTGGCTCTGGTAGGAGCAGAAGTATCTGGGGCCTTTTCAGCATGATGGCTGCCTGAACATTGTCCCCTGAGATGCAGGTTCCATGGGTCTGGCTGAGGCCTCGGTGTTCGTAAGTTTCATCTTGGGTGCTTTTGGTCCACAGCCAGGGATGAGAACCTCTGGTTTGTGACTATCTGTCCTCTAGTCCAGTGGTTCCCTGAACTGGCTGTGTCTGAGTCACCTGGAAGACTTGTGGAACTCAAGAATCTGATCTTCCTATTCCCAGATCTGCCATGCCCACGTCCCCAGGTGCGAGGACATGTCTCTGACACGCTCCACTCAGCTGAGGAAACTCAAACCCAGGCTTTACTCTAGCTTTCTTTATTTTATTTTTTATTTTTTTTATTTTAAAAGATTTATTTATTTATTGGAAAGTCAGATATACAGAGAGGAGGAGAGACAGAGAGGAAGATCTTCCATCCGATGATTCACTCCCCAAGTGAGTGCAACGGCCGATGCTATGCCGATCTGAAGCCAGGATCCAGGAACTTCTTCCGGGTATCCCACACGGGTGCAGAGTCCCAAAGCTTTGGGCCATCCTTGACTGCTTTCCTAGGCCACAAGCAGGGAGCTGGAAGGGAAGTGGGGCTATCAGGATTAGAATCGGCGCTCCCATGGGATCCTGGCACTTTCAAGGCGAGGGCTTTAGCCACTGAGCCACGCCACCAGGCCCTAGCTTTCTTTATTAAAAAAAAAACATTTTTACTAAATATTGTTCATATTAATTTTTTATCTACAAAGCATATGGATTTGTAGTGCCATTCCATCCACATTGGACAGGGTAGATGTGCATCTGCATATTTATATTTCTTCCATTCAGGGAAGAACCTTCCCTTAAAAAGCACTGTAGAACACTTTCCCCATGTCCAGGGGTAGGGAATGTCCAGTAGTCTGCACATTTGGTCTCACCCTGCCAAGGCAGCGTCAGGTAAGATTGAAAACTCATTAAATCTATGGCAGGCTGGTGGTCAAGTCGATAATGTTACATGGCCGTGAATGATGTGACAAGCATCTATGTGGCCCTTGGCTGAGCAAAGGTTCCCTTGCACTCTTAGAACGTTGTTCCTGGGAATTAGCTAAATCCTATTCCTTGGTGTGTGCTCACATTTGCTCATCTATGTGTCATTTAATTTCAAGTTCATCCTCCAGTTGATCGGAGTTAACCATGCTCAAGTTGTGTATCACTTGAAGGAGACTACACTTCAGATAACCATTATTTTTCTGTTATAAGGAAACAAACCACAACAACACACATGTGTGGGGCTTGGCAGAGAAAGACAAGCAATGACAGAAGCCCTGTTCCAGAGGACGCATGCAGGTGCTGGGTACCCGATGCCCAGCCTCACTGCTCTGTGAGCCTCCCAAGGCCTCCCAGAGGCTTCTACCTCCAAAAAAATCCCTGTGCCTGGGATGCTCTTCAACAGGAAGTGCTAATCTTCTGGGTTATTCTACCTTCTGCCTTTTTTTCCCCGCCCTCCCTGCTTGATCTCCGAAGGCAGTGCTTGGGTATTAACTGACTTTTCTCAACACTATGCTTCCATTAAGGAATGCTGTCAAGCATATTAAGATGGAGCATTTGCATATCTTGAAGAAACACATTTGTCTAGAAAAGGTAGTTCTGGTTAAAGAGATGCCTGTTGTTTTTTCTCCATTTTGCTCCCTTGTGTTAGAACAACGAAGAGTTGGCCACAGGTGTAGGAGCTGCTCGTGCAAAGATGTGCACTTGCTATCCTATACTGGTGCTAAAATCCAACATGTCTGGAGTTGTGAAGCTCAAGCATTTTGTGACACCTACAGCCAGAGCTTTTGTGCTCCAAGGAGTCCTGCCTTTACGTGGCAGCTAGATTGAGAGGGCCTGGGGCATGCCTCGGTCACCAGCTTGTGTCCATTACAAGCCTACTTTTTCCTCTGTCTGCAGCATCAAAGTCTGAGATCTTGATATCCTCACCCCAAGCTTCTTACTCATTCAAAATATGTTGAGTGCCTCCCGCATGCTTAGAAAGGCACTGCAGTGCAGTAGGAGATGAGAAGCTGCTTCCTTGCCTTTTGAAGAAGATAGAACCCGGCCAGGCTGCAAGAAGGGGCACAGGGGCAGCCTATGCAGGGCTTGCCAAGGAGCTGCCGGAGATCTGAATTATGTGAACAGGGGATCATGCAAGGGTCTAAAGAAGAAAGTTCCAACAGCAAGTCTAGAGGCTTCTGGGGGTTTCTGCTGGGAAACTCCCAATGTCCATGGTGTCAGCTCAAGCAGAGAGCTGCACTCCCGGGTGAGAAAGGGGCCCAGAGGGGAGCTCCTTGCTGCCCTGGGGCCCTCGGATGTGTTCTTCAGCATGCTATCCTTTCTTGCTTTCTCCTTCAGTTAACTAGCTGTTTTTGTTCAAGTCCAGGTTTTCCCTGGACAGGAATGCTCCCAGTTAGCAGCAGGTAGCTTCCTTCCAGGAGGCTCTTCAGCCTGTCAAAGCCATTCACTTACAAACCTTCAGAATAGCTGCCTTTGCATTGCTGTACCCAGTATGGTGCCTGGCAGGAAACAGGTGAACTAACTGAATGTCCAGAAACTCAGAATTTAGCTTCAGGAAGTTGAGCAGTGTTCTACAAGGTAGAAGTTCCCAGATGATCTGTGAACATTTATTACCTTTAGGAAGTAAAAAACGAATAGCTGTTATCATGGAGCTTACAAATAAAATATTTAAGACTGTATAGTTTGATGGGATTTTTAAAATTGAGAACCTAGGAATGAAGTTTTCTGTACTGCCAGTTAGCTGCGACTGGAGTTTAAACTTATGTGCATTTTCAAAAATGCTTATGGAAAGGGTGTTATAATTATGCATGGCTTTCAGGAATGTTCTGTGCCAAAATAAGCCTATCTTTAAATGCCATTGGCCATGAAGTTTTTGAGACGTTCCATTTGGGGGCAGGGGAGCCCTACCTGTCATTCATCATCGACCCGGTGCTGGTCACTTCCTGACTGACCTCAAGCTCTGTCCCTGCCTGCCCAGGTTGCTCTCTGCCATGGAGAACACCGCTTCTCTAGAGAACATACCAGCTGCGTTCTCTCTCTTTGAACATTATGATGACGGCTCCACCAGAAGTGACCAGTCGTTGAAGCAGGTGGCTGGTAAGCACACTTTCATGTTAATCACTGCATGGGATTTGGTAGTCTGAGCCCAGTTGTTGTGTGGAGTTTGATAAAGATGTAGACTAAGTGTTGGTTGTAACATGCTAAAGGAAGAAGGAGAGCAGCCTCCATGTCCGTCCGTGCAGTGTCCCCGTGACACTGGGGAGGCAGGTGGAGGTAGAAGCATGGGACCAGCACGCCTACTCTTTTTTTCTCTTTTGAAAATAAGATTTCTCTCCCTTCTCTTCTCTGAGGAATTACTTGCTTCATACCAACCACCAGGTACAGAAAAGAAATCAGATATTTTCATATAGGTCAAACTTGCATGTGGCTTTCCCCTCTTTAATTCTGTTTTTTTTTTTTTTTAATTCACAATGAACTCTCACTCCTGTAGTAAGACATCCAATCTAGTGTCTAGTGAAGGACTACTGGGCCTTTAAAAAGACAAGTAACACCCCTCCCCAAATCCCATCAACGCTACAGAAGGTAAAAAATGAAGTTGTTTTCCTAGTGGATTTTCTCCAGGAATAGCTTAAAACAGAAAGGACTTACTTGTCTTGAAGGACCTCAGACAAGCGCAGTGCCTGCCTGTGAAGAAACCCTGACCCACACAGCACACCCTTTGCTTTCAAAGGACTGGCTCTGCCGTCATCTGTTTGCGAGAGAGGGCAAGAGTGGTTAAAAGTTTGTGGGAAAATGGAAATTTAAAATAAGCTTATTTTGATGCAAAAAAAAAAAACCCTAAATCCATGCATATTGTTTCCTTGATGTGCTTCTTTTCCACAAGCTTTTCAAAGAGCCTCATGCACACTGTGAACATTTTGAGCAACTGATGGGCAATGAGAGCACACTGCCTATGTCTTAGAGATCATATTTCTGAACGTTCAGTCCCCGTCCCTGGTGCCAAATCAGGATAACAAGGACAAGGTTTGCGGGTAAAAGGAAAGGGGAAGTTTATTGGCAGATGAGGATGGAAGCAGATTGGTGTCTTCAGAGCTGGAACTTTAAAGGAGCCTGACCTGCTGAGCAGGTGCTGAATCCAGTGGCAGGTATGGCAGCGGCTCTCCGGTCAGGGCAGTTCTTTAGGAAACTTGTTTTGTTGCTGGGACAGCTCCTTTGGTGCAATTCATCAGTCAGGGAAAATCTGGGGAGGAATGGGGTTCCCCTGCCTTATTCCTTGCCCCCTGGCCCAGATGCTCTAAATTTCTGTTCGGTATTTTTATTTACTTATTGGCCATCACAGTCACTTCACTATAGAGATGTAAACCGAATAGCTAAGAACGTCTGGGCCTCTGTTGTATCACACAGGAATTGTAAATCCGGTCATTGTTATTGGATTCTGCCTGTGGAATGTTCTCATTCTCTTTTCATTTTTAAAATACTTTGGAAAGTAAAAATATTCACTTAGTTTTGAGAAAAGATGTGCGTGCTTTGGGAGAATGAACACACTGGGAGTGAGATTAATTGTAGCCCGCACGTTTTTCTTAACTCTGCAGCTGCTTCTTCCTGAGGATTCAGTGATATTTCAGGTCAGTTATCACTTTGTAAGTTTGTTAAATTACTAAAAAAAAAAAAAAAAAAAAAAAAAAGAAGAAAGAAAAAGAGAGAGAGATGTGAAAAAACATTGCCACCAGATGTAAGTCAGTGTGTGACTCCCAGGGACAAAGACAGGGTACGTTTTCATTGTGGCTTAAGGGGTCTCTGCCCCAGCTTCGACACAGTGGGGGACATTCTGGGCATTCCACTAAGGCTGGCAAATGCCCTTTCTCTTGGGCGGACTCCTTGAGTGTGAGACACTTTTTCTGCTGGGAAGACAGGACCAAGAAAGCAGCAGAGTCTCTGAGCTCTTACCTGGGTTGGCCTGGTGCTCTCCCTGGTGGCCTGCCCTGCTCGCCTGGCTTCCTGGTCTTTGTGGCTTCCCCCAGGGGTTCCTTGGTCCAGTCCCATCTTCAAGAGCCCTTCCCCCGCCTTCCCTTTGGCCTCTGCAGGTCAGCACAGTTGTGTTCACAGCCCCGGGAGGCGATGATGCAATCACTGTGTCCTCATTTGAGAGCTCTGAGCCTTGAGGCTGGAAGAGTGCAGTTGCAGCGGCCGGTGAATGGGGGATCTGGCACTTGACCCCAGGTCCTGCCTCCCTTTTCTATAGTGCATGGACATAACCCTGCTCCCTTCCCGCTTCTCACTTGCACTCTCATTACTTTGATTCTGTATTCCTATTGAGTCTTTTTTAGGCGTTCCATTTCTTAAATGTACTTAATTTTCTCTGACTTCCTATTGAAGAAACCTTAATTTCCTTTGCCTTTCACATCAAGTTTTAAGAATGTCATAAAGTTCAGCCTGTATCATTTCAGTAAGCTTACCCCTAAGGAAATTATTGACTGGGAAAAATTACTATGCACAGTTTAAGAGCATGGCAGCTTTCTGACCACAAGAATCTCCTTTTCCTCCAGTTTGTATATTATGTTTACTGATTTTGTGTCATAAATGTTGGAAGTGAATTGACAGAGCTTGATTGATGGGGTATGCCACTAATGCTCAACAAATATAATCACACACTTCTAAACATGTGGGGATATTATGGGTTTAAAAATTCAGAACAACAGTTATACAGATGTCTAAAACTTATATTTGACTCAGCCAACAGAGTTCTTTTTCCCCTGTGTAGTTTTTATTTTTATTTTTATGTCTGTAGGTGTAGCCAGTTGGAAAGAAACAATGGAATAGTTGTTTTAGAAAGTGCATTTTGATATTTTATTCATGCAAGGTTTTTTTTTTTTTGTTTTTTTTGCCTTGAAGAAATTACAGCTATTCTAGGAGGATCTCATAGGTCTCTATTAGAATGTGGACTCTGTGGCGACAGAACAATGAAGCGTTGCCTGCATAGGGAAATGTGCTCACCAGGGGGCTAGCCTCACCGACTAGATGCACCCCCCGCCGGCCCCAGGCTGGGTGGAAGGGAATTACCCAGTGACTTTGTTTGGGGATCCATTCCTGGGTGGCACTCATTTGGATTCCATGGGCACACCTCATCAGCACCTGGCCAGAGGGCCACACTCAGCTGGACAGGGACTGCATCCAAGGAACAGAACGGGCTGTGGATGTCAGGAGCAGGGGAGTCTCCTTTGGCTTCTCGGCATTGTTTCATTATCTTCAGCAAGCATAAGCAACTTTGGCAGAGAATCAAAAGCAACCAATCAATAGAAACCGCATTAGCTGTCCTAACCCTCTCCTGCATTGCAGTTCCACAGCCTCCTCGGCTAGAACCCCAGGAACCAAATTCCGCCACCAGCACAACCATCGCAGTCTACTGGAGCAGGAACAAGGAGGATGTCATCGACTCCTTCCAGGTTTACTGCGTGGAGGGACCGCAGGACGACCAGGACATCAATGGTAGGGTTATGAGCACACAGACTCGTGCACACATGACTGTGCGTTAAATGAATATGCGTTAGGACTTTCCACCAAGCACATATAGCCACTTACAAAGTGAATTAACAACCTTTAAGCAAAACTTGAAATCAAGAGCAAGGGGGAAAAATGGATATATATCATTGTAATGGCTAACAGGAACAAACAGATTCAGTCAGTTGAAAAGGCAGCACTGCCAGAAAGAAGGCAATGGAAACCACAGCCATGGTTCCTGGACCATGGGGAGATGTTTCCCAGGGTGTGAGTCCTTCTGACCCTCCCTGGTAGAAGCTGTCTGTCCCAGAAGGTGAAGCTCCTGGGACAAGGGAGATGGGCTTGAGGTAGATGAGTCCCCCAAGTTCCTCTGCAGGAAACAGTCTGTGTTCTTTCCTGGAGGAGCTGTGGAGGTGGACCATTCAGGAGTGCCAGGGAGGGTAACTCACTGGAAAAAGAAAATCATCTCTCTTTGTTTGTAATTTCAAAAGGCTTCTTTGTTTATTTTGAAAGGCAGAGTTACAGAAAGAGGGCCCAAGAGAGATCTTTGATCTGCTGGTTCACTCTCCAAATGACCTTAATGGCCAGGTTTGGACTAGGAGCCATGAGCCTGGAAGTCCATACAGGTCTTCCACCTGAGTGGCAGCGGACAAAGGACCTGGGCTATTTTCTGCTTTTCCAGATGCATTTGTAGGGAGCTGGATCAGAAGTGGAACAGTCAGGACTTGAACTGGTGCTCATGTGGGAAGCTGGTATCACAGGTAGCAGTTAACCCATGGTACCATAATGCCAGCCTCAAAAATAATCTATTTAAAGGAGAGGAAATTATAGTGAGAGCTATCAGCCTGCCCCGAGGTCTGGGTGTCCAGGTGGGAAATGAGCACTGTTTACTACAAAAGTATTGACAGTACAGGAACTTAATAAACTGTGAAGGGAAACGTTCCTATTGAACAATACTACTTTTCAGATTGGTGTGTGGTCTCTGGCATTTGTCCAAGTATTTCTGTAAATGTAGCTATCTCTAATTGGAAGAGTTCTGCAATTCAGGAGGAGGGACCAGGCTCTGAAAGTTAGAGAAAGCCTCACTGAGTCCAGAATAGTTCACTAATCTACGAAGATGCTTTATAACTTCAGAGCATGGAGTGCTGAACTTTTTATGGTGTAGTCTTCTGAAATATTGGCCTTGGCTCTTACAAATTTTCTTGCTAAATGTGTTAGCAAGACTTGAGCTAACATATACTTTATGCAATTTTAATATTTTCTGTTGAAATAAGTTACCTTAATTATGGTACAAGAAGCTCAGAAATGCACTACCATGCAATTATTTTCTGATAAGTGTCCCACAGGTAGTACTAAATCATTCTAAAGATCTCTTTTCAGAACACTGTTGTTTCCTTATATATTCTACAGACCGAGTTATTCCATAATGTTATCTGCATGGTGATGAGTTTGGAGTTTCTACTGGGAAAAAAAAATCCTAGATGACTTTTTCAATAGCTGCAACTTTGGGTTGTCTTTGGAAGCTGCTTTTAAGGTTGTGATTTTGTTTTCCGCTAGAGCTGGTGGAAGAATACAGATTAACAGTGAAGGAAAGCTGCTGCATTTTTGAAGACCTGGAACCGGACAGGTGCTATCAAGTGTGGGTCATGGCTGTGAACTTCACCGGCTGCAGCCTGCCCAGCGAAAGGGCGATTTTCAGAACTGGTAAAAGGGTGCTGGAGGGGTGTCAGGGGCAATGCCCAGTTCTTCCACTGAGTTTGGGGCAACCCAAAAAGTATTTACTGCCCGGTGCAGGCTGTTGTGTGAGGTGCTGAGTATACAAGTGATGAGTGAGACTGGATCCTGTTCTTGAAGACGCTTATATTCAAGGGGGTCCCTAAGGGATGCCCAAGATGACCAGCAGGAACAGTGGCTGGAGCGGGATCTCACCTTCCCCGGTGGTGGTCCAGCGCTGTACCCCTTGAGTGGGGCAGGAATGGGCACAGTGGGGAGTGTGCCGGTGAGAAGGCTGAGCACACAGAGGCTGTGTTTGCCCAGTTCGAGGCTGGACCTGGCGGCCCCTCGGTGTTCTCTGCAGTGGTGTTGTGCTGGGAATGCTCTCTCACGATGCAGTGCTTCCCCCAGTGGCCAGAACAGGAAGTTCAGCGTCAACAAGGCTGCAGTGCTTGAAGGGAATTTCTCCCCTTCGTGTACAGTGCATTTTTTATCCAGCCGCTGCTGAGGGTAGGACCCTGGCTGCATTTGCTGTAAAGGAAGAGGACGTGTCCTCACCCGAGTAAAATGAAGCAAGGATAGGATTTGAAGGAAGCCGACCTCATGGCTGTCTGGAGTCTCTAGGAACTGGCCAACTTGGTTGGAGAGGGAGGGAAACTGACTTTTCTCTTTTCAACCCAGGATGAGGGTTCGTTTTTTTTAATTTATGTAAACAACAACCAAAAAATTGGAAGATAAAGTCAGACCCAAGCGCTCCTCCAGGGAGCAAGGACCACCCCCAACTGATCCTGCCCCTCTCTACAGCGCCCTCCACCCCCGTGCTGCGTGCCGAGGACTGCACCGTGTGTTGGAACATGGCCACCATCCGGTGGCGACCTGCCAGCCCCGAGGCCACCGAGACCTACACTCTGGAGTACTGCCGACAGCACTGTGCTGAGGGCGAGGGCCTCCGGTGAGTGTCCCTGTCCACAGCCGACAGGGCATGCCCCGAGCTCAGGTGTGTGAGCTATGGCTCCATCAGTGCTCATCCATGAATTCCAGATAGGTAATAGAACACATGCCACGGAGCAGAATCGAAGCTCTCTTGTAAGAAAAATGTATGCAGATCTTAACAGGACAGAACTTTTTTTTGAGGTGTATTTAACTTGAGTCATTAGGCCGGATTTATGCAAACACATGCTTTTTTCACCAGAGGGGTCAGCATGAGGCATCATCAAACCCAGAGTGAGCTATGCTGTCTAAGGCCCAGAAGAGCTCTTTCAAATGCGTTATCACAGAGCCGTCCCTGCCTCCCCATGCGTGTCAAGAATGGAAAGTCTCCCAGGAAAAAAAGGCCATGTTCCTACCATGAAAAGGCTAAAGTCTGTTAGTGAGAGGCTGTGTCTCCCCTCTGTATCTGGTCAATGTTAGCTCACCTACTACAGGGTCATCTCACCCTCCTAGCTCCTGGCCACATCCTGATAAATATTCGGGTTATTATCATGAGTAAGCAAGTTTTATAAGAGATATCCTTAGATTTTCTTTTCTTTTTTTTTTTTTAGCAGTGTTTGCTGGGAAAGATTCTGTAGGAAGTGGAAATTAGGAATCAGGGTATGGAATTAGTGTTTTAACAGGGTGTTATTAAGCTCTTGATTATCTCCGTGATCAGCCGACATCTGTGCATTTGGCTGAGATGTGGGGTTTCCTGTGACTGAGGAATAAGGTTGAAGACTGGCTCCAGCAGATAACGCTCTGCAGATGAGCTGGGTGGGGCGTAGGCATCCCAGCACACACATACCGGCGGCTCCTCTGCTGCTGCACCCGGACCTGGAAGGCAGCTCTGGGAGTCAGCGGAGAGCCGAGCATGACCTGTGGCCAGGACGAGAGCAGAAGGAACAGCCAGCCAGGGTCTCAGCGCCACTCGTGTAGCACATCTCACCCTCTGAAGAGCTCTGGGGATGCAGAGCCTTTGAATGGCTGCTCGGCTCGCAAACCCCACTCTCCCCAGATCTCAGAGTCCCACCTGCTTCCTTTAGGGGAGCCCTGCCCCTTGCTCAAAGCCCCGGGGGTGTGAGACGTCTCCCACCATGTGAGAGCATGGCAGTCTCCTCAGCCATGCTCTGCCATCAGCCAGCACAATCCAGTTCTCTCTGGGGCAAGGTCTGAGCTCGTGGAGGATGTTCCAAAATGGCTCTTCCCTGTGTGACTTCAGCCCCCAGCTGGCATTCACGAAAGTTAAAGCAGCACAGCTGGAGTCAAGCAGCAGCCAGCTCAGCAAGGCCAAGTGGTGTTGAATGTCCCTGCAGGCAGAAGGTGGAGGGAGGAGTGCCATCCCTCCAGGGCCTTCTGTATGTGTGAGCTGTGTTCAGTCTCACTTAACCTCCCAGCAGCCCTTCCTGGGAGGCAGGAATAGGTCCCTGAATCACACTCGGTAGGCGTGGTGATTAATGCAGGAAGCACCAGGGCCAGGATGCAAGCCAAGGCTGTCTCACTCTAGGAGGCTGTGTAAAGACGTCTGCTGTTATACACTGGGCTAGCAAGGCGGGCAGCCTGATGGCGGGCTGTTGCAGTGCACTGCAGATTCCTCTGCCACTCGACACAGAGGGGACGTGGGGATGCGCCGCCTTTGCTCCATGAATGCTGTTTCTTTCCCTGGTCATCCTGGCTCTCTGAACTATATGGAGGAGAAGGGGTCCATTTGGTAGCAACAAGACCTTCTGAACAAGTTCTTCTAATCAAAGCCGAAAAAAAAAAAAAAACAACCAATGACAGTTCCACTTGTATGGAGTAAAAAAAAGGGGGGGCTGGGTGGGTGGGGAGCATCTGCTGATTTTCTTAAAACCAGAGCAGAGCTTGTTAAAACAGAGGCATGTCCTTAGCTTATTGTTTCTGGGGCTTTACCAGAGTTTGTTTTGAGTTTGCTTGTTGCAGGGGTGTACTAGGCAGCTGGTTCCGGGCATGAGAGGGCCTTTGTTGTGCCATAGGGACAGTCCAGGAGCTTAGAAGAGAAAAGGCATTGCGGGGTGGTGAGTTTGTGCTGTGCTGGGGCTGGAGCCACTTGAGCCCCCATTCCCTACCCCAGAACCCCTAGAGGATTCAGCATTAAGGTCTCCTCCATGGCCTCTGGGACCCCCGATGGGCCCATCAGTGGATATTTTAGGGAAGCAAGCAAAGTTTCTTGGCTATAAATCACTGTTCCTTGCTTGTTTAATCTGTTGCTGAGCCATCACTCTCCCTCGTCAGTCCAGGCCTGACTTACTGCCTACCCCAGCATCAACAAGCCATGAAGTAATTCACCTGCAGAGCCTCGCTTGGGTCTGCACGGTGCTTGTGCAGATGTGTTTGTCCCATTTGCCAGTTCTGTACAGTTCTGTGCATGTGGTTCTCACAGCTGACTTTGAAACATTCCTTCCAGGAAATGATGCTTGGAAGCTTTATAGAACGTGAGCTATGTCACCACAGCCTCTGCAGAGCTGTTGGCGACAGTACATCTCATAAATAAAGAACTCCCGGCTCGGCCTTCTGCACAGGCCAGCAGGGTCTGCTTTAACCTGCCACGTGGGAGACGCATCCTTGGGCTTCTGCACAGCCATGAGTCAGAAAGCTGCCCCGTCTTGGGAAGGACCAGCAGGCCCCGGTTTGTCTGATCCTGCTCAGTTAGTGACTCCGTGATGGGGTCATTAGATAAAGCTGCAGCCTCAGTGTCCATGATGGCGCTTGGTGATTTGTAGCTAAATACGTGTGACCTTAGTCAGCACCAGTTAGCATCAAACGCAAACACTGACCAAAAGAAAAGGCAAGCCAGCTTCCAAGAGAATCTCTTATCCAAAACACACACACACACCACACACACAACATGCACACACACAGAGCACACCTCAGTACATACACACAACACACACAACATGCACACACACAGAGCACACCTCAGTACATACACACAACACACACAACATGCACACACACAGAGCACACCTCAGTACATACACATAACACACATGCAACATACACACAGAGCACATATACCCCCCACACAGAGCACACATACAACACACACATAGCACACCTCAGTACATACACATAACACACACATGCAATATACACACACAGAGCACATATACCCCACAGAGCACACATACAACACACACATAGCACACCTCAGTACATACACACAACATGCACACACACAGAGCACATCTCAGTACATACACATAACACACACATGCAACACACACAGAGCACACATACAACACACACATAGCACACCTCAGTACATACACATAACACACAGCACACACAGCACACCACAGTGCACACATACAACATACGCACAGAATACCTCAGTACATACACATAACACACAATACACACAGTGCATACACACCCCACACACAGCACACACACAGAGCATACCTCAGTACATACACACAACACACAGCACACACACAATACACAAGAGCACACAGCACACACCACACACACAGAGCACACCTCAGTACATACATACAACACAACACACACATGCAACATACACAGCACACGCACAGAGCACACACACACCCTAAATTGTGCCTGCAGGAATGAGTTATTTTAGCAATGGTTGGTTCACATCAGTGCTTGACAGACAACCCACAGATGGGCAGGAAACGTGATGGTGTTGTTTGTCCCCTGAGTATCTAACTTATGTGTAGATTCTGGGTCCACAAACTCTGCACTCAACCAGACTCAGAGTCATTGAAGAGGAGAGAGGAGGATTAAAGGTGACACATACTTTTTTTTTTGTAATGTAATGAACTGTGCAAAGACAAGGAACTTCTCAGCATGGGCGCTTGGTAATGAGCCATTGAGTGAACCAGTGAATGAACAGCGATTCGGGAGTAGTGATCTCTCACTGGCTGCAATCTTTAGTGAAAGACAGAGGGAGCAAGAACTAAATGAGTTTGTGCCTCTGTCCCACCCCCAGTCCCTGTGAAACAGGGCAGCTGTGGTCTGGCGGAGGAAGACATGTAGAAATGAAATGAAATGCTAGCTAGAGGAGAGGAGTCATATTAACTCTCACGCACCCATGTAGGTGCAGGGTCCTGGCTGGCTGTCCTTCACTGGAGCTGAAATGCATCTCTCTTCAGACCTGCATGTTTTCCACGTGTGCTGATCCCCAGCTCCTCAGTGTACGACCCTACGTGCCACTGGGCACACAGGGTGGGCATCTGAATGGAGCCGGTCTGCCTTGCCCCAACTTCCCCGAATAGCTGAGCCTGAGACGCCCTCACATATTTGTTGTGCACATGAGTGGGAGGCAGTCCTGATGGCATGAGGGGGGTTATGGGTGGGCAGGAGTGACAGTCTCGGGGCCCGTGACTCTCCTTCTTCCTATTTTCTTCTCAATACTCTCCTTGGATTGGGTGGGCTCAAAACCCTTGCAGAAATTTTCCAGGCTCAGCTTCTGCCTCTGCGGTGGCCGCTCTCCTGTGTGGAGAGAAGTCAGCAGAGGCGTGGGTGAAGCTGAGCAGCACAGCACAAGGATTGCTGTGTGGGCTGGGGCGGGGGAGCCGACGTGGGCGGCATGACCTATGAGACGCCAGGTGCCACGAGGCTGCTCCGTGGACCCTCCCTGGGACTGTGGTGGGCATTGGGGGCAGCACCTCAGGGGGCGTGTCCCCTTCGCTCTTGGCTCCTGGGGCCAACATGGGGGGCAGGAAGAGAACTGCTGCCCATTGATGGGGGTCCTGCTGGGGATATCACCTACATGCTCCTCCCTACTGCCTTTGGGGCAGGCTATGATCGTGTTTCCTAAGACTGTCTTAACCAGGGTCCTTGGTTGCCTGGTCAAACTTTGGAGCCACAGGCCCCTTGGAAGAGAATCCATCAGGAAGGCCTGTTATGTGTGGGGATGTGTGGGAACACGGGGCCTCACTTGGCTCCCCATGTGCCTGTCCAGGGGTTGGGTGCTGCCAGTGCAAGTACCTGGCATAGCTAACTGTGTTAAGAAGCAGTTCATCTTGGCCCATCTGTTGTGTGGTGCACTGGCCATGATCTCTAGGGAGTGCTGCTTCCAGAACTCTGGCTTGGGGGTCCTCCAGGCTGCTTCTCCTATGGGAAGCCACGCTCCAGTCTGATCCAGGTGCTAGACACAGCAGAGAGCCTGCTGCCCCTGTCACAGCCACCAGCCCCTCGGGTACACTTTCTTCCAGCACCTTTCAGACATCCAGTTCCTGGAGAAGCTGCTTGCTGAGGCTCAAACCAATGCAACACCTGAGGTTCTGCAAACACTGAACCAAATGCAGAACTGCTCAGGGTGCTGTGTTCTTGTGGGACCTTGAGAAGATTCCTAACCACACCCCGTCAGCTCTCCTCCCCAGAGGCAGTAACTGTTCCCTGAATTTGTCTTGGAGAGTGTGTGCCTATGGCAACAACTGTGGTAGTATAGGTCAGGAATGTCATTTCGTCTTGCATTCCCTGTTCACCACTTTGCAAGCCCTGAGTATTCAGCACATGTGGAACTGCTCGGGCAAGCATAGTTCCATTGTGTTCTGATAGGAGGATATAATTCCACTGATGTGACCCGCTAAGAGGCATTGTTTCCATTCTCTCACAAACCCTTGCAGGAGAGGCCCCTGGAAGTAGAACGGCTGGCTGAAAATGGTGCACAGAGACTGCCAGGCTGTCGCCATGGCAGGTGGCGGGTGGCGGAGGCTGGCTGTGTCTGTCCTCGTCTGTGCACGGTTTGACAGCTCTTCACGCCTTTGAGGATCGAGTTGGAGAAGGTGGAGTCTTAGCCTAGCTCCACTGAGCAACTCTCAATCTCTCCTTCCTGGGTCTTGGGGGCCACATTCCTCCTTTTCCATCTGCTGTTCAGTTCCTCTGCTCCTTCCCTCGTTGCACTTTTTTGCCTGTACACTCCCCATCTCTCTTCTTAAGGGAGTTAGCTTTCATGGGTGATTGAAGCTGAAAAGTTGGTTTTTTTTTTTGGCATGAGTATTCCTTCATGTTAATTTTGTTGTTTGTATCAATCTCTTTTAAAAATAGCTTTTAGTTTTTCTATAATATCTAAAATATCTCCCTCTCTGGCTGCATATATATATATGTGTGTGTGTGTGTGTAACCTCCCTCTTCTTGGTAGTAGTTGCTGACTGCATTTTCTGCACTAGATCCTTTATTGTCTGGAAGAGATATGTAGGAGGTGTAAGGCAGGAATGCGGCTCCGTCATCAGGTGTGGCCCTGCAGCTGTTCCGTGTCTCCTGGGCTGGGGTGCCTGTGTGGCCAGGTAGACTTGGTCCTACTCCTGACCTGGTAGCCTGCTGCGTCGTTTGTCCAGGATCAAGTACACCACCCTATGCCCATGGTTGTGTGGTAGCACTCTCAGATGCTTTTTGGAGTTGCTGCTGGCTCATTTATGCTTTCTGTGACCTTGCACGGCCCCGCCATCCCTCCCCCGACAGGCTGTCATAGAGGTCCTCTTGGGCCGCAGGTTAACGCAGGGAATGTGAAACTTCTGCCATGCCGTGCTTTCCCCACCTAGGAGCTGAGGTCCTTTCCAGCTGTTCATGTCTTCTGTGTGACTTACTGCACATCTCCTGTTTTTTATTTTTTGCCCTGTCATGTCCGTGCGAAGGTCTTGACTCCCAGTTTCATATCTACTCTCCTCCCTAAATTCTCTTAGCATGTGTATGTTTGCCACATAATTTCTTACACTGTCTAGATAAAGACTCATGTCATCTGCAGTTTGTAGCACTTGGACTTCCTGGTTTTTTTTTTTTAATCTCACTGGAGACTTTACCCTGAAGCCACTCCTTTCTACCACCAAGGCCCATCTGGGAAGAAGAATCCCACCAGCTGTCCCAAGGGGAGCCCCCCAGAGCTGTGCCTTCAAGTGTTGTTTGTTGGCTCTGGGCTTGGGGTTGTACTCACAGGTCATTATTTCCTGCTCTAAAGACGCTTCTGAACTAAGTCCCGGGAGCCTGTAGGTGCTGTCATCAGAGGACAGTGTCCAGACTGAATGGGCTGTGGTCACTGTAAGCCCAGGGGAGAGTGGGCAGGCTGTGGAGGCTGCTTCTGCCCTAGCCAGAGATCTGTTTTGTCTCTGTTGTATGGGGCGGGAATCCCACTGAGGCACAGAGGAAAGTTCTGGAAATAAGGCCATATTTCCTGAAGGGGGGGGGGGGGCTTTCCATTTCCTTTCATTTCCTGAAGTCGGGAGGCCTCCAATTTCCTTTCATTTTCATTTCATCAAATCTATTGTGCTGGTTTTGGAGGGTTGTCATTCATACCCTCAGTGCTAACACTGTCTTGATGAACCCAGGGTCGATTAAGGTGACGCGATGCCTGCCGTTCCTGGGGCATTTGCCAGCTCTGTAGAGTCTAAGTTGTTGGGCTAGGGAGTGGCCTTGAGACTTTGCAGGACACTGGGGCTCTGCTCCTGTCCAGCTGTGCCTGGTCTCAGAACTCACTTTGGCACTGTGTTTCTGTACTTTAAACTTTACTCAAACCATGCTGAGCTAGCTATCAGTCATGGAACTCTGTTGCAAAGAAAACAACTTTCATTTTGAAGTTAAAAATGTCTTAACCGGTCTAAAGGTGCTACTGTTCACTCCAGACTTTTCAAAAGTTTCCAGTGAACTTAAAGCAAAACAGCAGACATGGGACTTGGAGTCAGGGTGCAGATCTGAGCTTCCAGCCTCGTCCAGGGGCTGCAGCACAAGGTGGCAGATGGTCAGGGATGGAACACCGTGTGCTTTGTCTTTCATTCTTGTGCCTGGTGTTCTGTTCTTACATTCAGTTGCATGATCGGTTTCACAGAAAAGCACATCGAGGCTCCAATCCGATATTCCTGTTTCAGGATGACCAAACCTTAATTCTCGTTCTGTTTAAAAGAGTGATTTATCCATTTGAAAGGCAGAGTTACAGAGAAAGGAAAACACAGAGAGAGCTCTTGCATATGTTGGTCCACTTCCCAGACGGCCACAACAGCCAGGACTGAGCCGCGGTGAAGCCCGGATGCAGGGATTTTATCTGGGTCTCTTACAGGGTACAGGGCTGGGCCGTCATCTGCTGTTTTCTAGGAGTCTTAGCAGAGAGCTGGATCAGACATCAAGCAGCTGGTGCTCATACAGGATGCTGCTGTTGCTGGAGGTGCTTAACCCACAATGTCGGCTCCAAATTTCTTCTCTAAACAACACACAGCAGGAGACACATATAGGATTACATATAACAAATGCTTATGACTTTCTCCTTGACAGAGTACACAGAACCTAGGAGTAAAACTCACCTAAAAAATAGCATTCATGGGGCCCAGCATGATTAGCTGGCGGTGAAACACTTGCCTTACATGTACCGGGATCCCATATGGGTACTGGTTCATGTCCTGGCTGCTCTACTTCCCATCCAGTTCCCTGCTTGTAGTCTGGGAAAGCAGTAGAGGACACACAAAACCTTGGGACCCTGCACCTATGTGGAAGAACCAGAAGAGGATCCTGGCTTCTGATTTCAGATTGGCTCAGCTCCAGCCATTGTGGCCACATGGGAGTAAACCAATGCATGGAAGATCTTTTGTTCTCTCTCTCTGCTCTCTGTAAATCTGCCTTTTCAATAAAAATAAATTAAAAAATAAAAAACACATTCATGGAATGGGCACTGTGGGTTAAGCTGCCACTTATAGCACTAACATCTCACATGGGTGCAGATTTAGCTGTTCTACCTCTGACGTAGCTCCTGCTGCTGCACCTGGGAGAGCAGAAGATGGCCCGAGTGCCCAGGCCCCTGCATTCACACGGGTGACTTGGAAGAAGTCCCTGGCTCCTGGCTTTAACCTGGCCCAGCCTGTGCCACTGTGGCCATTCTGGGGAGTGAACCAGCAGATGGAAAGTCTCTGTAGCATTGCCTTTCAAAATCTGAGGAGAAACACAAAGAATGAACAACCACGTGCATGGAGTTGAAACACTGCTTAGCTACAGGATGGAGCCAGCAGTCCTCTCTGACCCCTCCCCTTCAGCCTTCAGGCTATCAAGCAGAGGCAGGGCCCAGGCACATGCTAAGTAATCAACACACATTGATTTAATGAGCAAATCAAATATGAAATTGATTGAATATGCTTATTGAGATAATACTGTAATGACCACTTGGAGTGTATGTTTAGAACATTTCTTCAGCGATCGACTCAGCAGAGATTAGTCCACACAGCCCAGAAAAGGGGTCTGCATTTTTCCAGGGGCACTTGCCACGTAGTGGTGTACTGAGTGTCAAGGTCATGGTCTCAGGCAGGTGGAAGAGAATGGAGCATCCTCAGAATAGGCCAGCGCGCTAGCGGGGGCCCCACCTTGCTTTCAAGGCCCAAATCCCTGTGAGGGGGCTGGCCTTTCCCTGCAAGGCTCGCCCAATGCCCTGCCTACAACGCACCAGCACTTCACTTCTAGTTCAGATGGGCCCCTTAGGAATAGCATCTTGGAGAAGTTGTGTTTTTGTTTTTTTGCAATTACATTATCTTTCGTTGCCAGGATTAAATATGCTTTAAAGTTGCCATCTTCCTTGAAGATCTTCCATTTCAACCCACATTGGTGGCTTTGGCATGATGGCCACGTTAAGAAAAGCATCACTCACCCTAAGATATTCACAATTTGGATCTGAGAGAATTGAGGTCGTTTGTGTTATGAATTGGTTTCACATCATCTTCATCCACAAGTGCCTTCTCACTGATCAAGGAATTGTCCCTCCTCCAAAGAGCATTCTGGAAGACACATATTGGACTAAATTTGGCCAAGATAGAAAGGAATTCGTGGCATTCGGCAGGGTCTGACCTGCCAGCTCTGGTGGTCATTGAAAGGGAAGAAAATACGTTTTTGATGTTGGTTAAAAAAAAAGTTCACTCATGACCGTGTCAAGATATGAGTCACTTAGCCCTAGATGTGGTTTGTAAACCTGGTGTTCTGCTTCCATGTAGGTCTTTCTCCGGGATTAAAGGGCTCCAGCTGAGAGTTAACCTCCAGCCCAATGAGAACTACTTTTTCTACGTGAGAGCCGCCAATGCCTTCGGGACGAGTGAGCAAAGCGAAGCCGCCCTGGTCTCCACCAGAGGTACGTTGTCCTGCGTGTGCAGGGAGCACCTCCAGGCACTTCTAGCCCCGACCCCCATGCAGAGAACGTGTCTTGGGGCATGCACGACTCTGTAAGGCTCAACCTGCTGCCAGGGCTAAGTTTTAGTCATGGCACTTAGGATTGGTCAAAGGTATTGTTTTCTTTGGTTTGGAGATTCTCAACCTTGGTTGCCTGTTAACAGTCAGTCAGGGTGCCGAACGAATGTGGAAGCCCTGGCCCCTGGAGACCTGACTGACTTCAGAGATGGGCTTGGACATAGTGGCTCCAGTCATCCTCCAGGTGATTCTGGGCGGACTCACAATGTGCTGCAATTTGTGGGCATGTTGTGGTGTGTGTGATAGAGACAGATGGGGTGATCCTGATTTTTTAAGAGATTTCAATATATGCTTTGGAAGTCAGAATTACAGAAAGAGGGAGACAGATTGGTCTTCCACCTGCTAGTTGACTAGCTACAACAGTCAGGGTTGGTCAAGGCTGAAGCCAGGAGCTTCTTCCTCATCTCCCACATGGGTAGCAGGGGTTCCAGCACTTGGGCCATCTTCTACTGCTTTTCCCAGATCGTTAGCAGGGAGCTGGATCAGAAGTGGATCAGCTAGTACTTAAACTGGCACCCATATGGCATGCCAATACTGCAAGTAGAGGCTTAACTTACTAAACCATAGCATCAGCACTGGTTCTGACATTAAAAAAAAAAAAAAAAGATTTGTTTATATAGAAGGTAGAAGGAGAGAGTTACAGAGGTCTTCCATCTGCTGGTTCACTCCCCAAATGGTTGCAACAGCCAGGGCTGCTGGGCTAGGCTGAGTCCGGCAGCCAGGAACTCTCTCTGCGAATATCTGAGACCATCCAGTGCCTCTTAGGAACATCCGCAGGGCGTTGGATCGGAAGTGTAACAGCTTGAATCAACACTCTGATGTGGGGCGTGGGTGTCCCAAGCAGTGACTGACCCCACTGTGCCACACCCTGTGCATCCAGTCCTGTTCCTGGGTGTGCTCTGGGAGTCGACTGGCAATCTTGTTCTGCTTATTCTGGTTTGTGGCAGCTAGTACTTGCTGGATGCATGAGCGGGCGAATGAAGAATGACTGAACAAAGAATGAAAGTGTCTGGGAGAGAAGTGCCATCACCTGTTCTCTGTTGCTGTGAGAGGGCGGGAGGAACAGGCAGGATTTATGTTCCCGCTCTAGACCTGGATGGCACAAGCTCAGTGGGGGACACCAGGAGTACTCGGTGTAACCGGCAAAGACCTGGCATGAGCCTTGTTTGCTTTGCAGCAAGGGACAGCTGGGTTTGATGGAGACGTGGCATGAGGGCTGCCTGCCCAGACATGTCTTCCTCCCCAGTCCCAAACCAGTGCCCACACCTGCCCTTGTTAGACTCTCTTCTTTAGATGATGCCAGCAGACTCCCAATTCCCACTTCTAATATGTCTACAGGTTCCTGGAGGGGCTCTGAGGATGTCTGGTCATGGGAATGGTCGGGGGCGGGGCATGTGGGCAGGAATCTGCATTTCCAACTGAGCTCCAGGCGATGTGATGCTGTTGGTCCAATAACTGCTTTGCACAGCAGCTGGGTTCTCACACAGGGTATGCCTGTGGGCGGGGGCGCCTGGAGCTGCAGGGAAAGACCCTGCCTTTAGTATCCACAAGTGCCCTTTGGGAGGTTTTAACATCAGGCCTGCAGGGCGGGGCCTGGGACAGCCCTGGCCACCAGGGCGGTGGGGTCATCCTATTTTCTCACTCACCCCAGGAACCAGATTTCTCCTGTTGAGAGAGACAGCTCATCCGGCCCTGCAGATTTCCTCGGACAGCACGGTGATCAGCTTTGCGGAGAGGAGGCGGCTGACTGAGTGAGTGGGCCCTGGCGGCCCAGGCGCGGGCTGCATGGGAGGATATGGCCTCAGCCGTGGACACGTGCACGCCTGCGGGTGCACTGTGCTCCCTCCCAGGGAGGAGGCTGCGTAGGCTGTGACTGGCAGCCGCAGTCAGTGTTCTTCCTGGAAATGAGAGCTCAGATGGGTTTGTCTGTCATTGGCTGTTGAAGGTATTATCTCTGGTTCAGTAATAAAATAGCCTGGCAGTTCTTTAGCTTTTTCACAGCAACTAAGTTTTTTTTTTTTTTTTAAGATTTGTTTATTTTTACCGGAAAGGCAGATTTTACACAATGAAGTGGAGCCAGAAAGATCTTCTGTCTGCTGGTTCACTCCCCAAGTGGCATCAATGGCCAGAGCTGAGCTGATCCAACGCCAGGAGACTGGGGCTTCTTCCAGGTCTCCTACATGGGAGCAGGGCCTCAAGTGTCCACAGGTGCCCTTTGGGAGGTTTTAACATCAGGCCTGCAGGGCGGGGCCTGGGACAGCCCTGGCTACCAGGGCGGTGGGGTCATCCTATTTTCAAACTCACCCCAGGAACCAGAGATTGGTCCAACCTCTGCTATTTTCTCAGACCATAAGCAGAATCTGGATCAGAAGTGGAGTAGCCAGGACTTCATCTGGCTCCCATGCAGGATGCCCACAGCACCGGCCCCAGCGACAAGGATTTTATACCGAGCCTCTTGAATAGCAACACAGGAGAAGGCCTTTTTCTGAGCTCCTATGGTGGCCGCACAATCCTGCCATGCTGCAGCTTCCGCAGGAGGGATGTGAGAAGAAAAGCCAGACCTGGGCGAGGGTGGGGGTTGCCCTGCTCCTTGTTGGCAGTACCTCCGAGTCATTTGGAAGGTCAAAGTGAGCAAATGGGAACCAGCCTGGGACACACAGGAAGCACGCCGCCTACAAGCACCAAGGGGGCCAGCTGTCAGTTGCCCTCGGTGATCATGCCAGGCCTGAGTTCCACAGCCAGGCTGGGCACTGCTTCCATGCCAGGCTGCTGTGTGCCTGGCCACAGGCCTGCTCGCAGGTGCCTGCTGCTGCAGGTGGCCATGCATTCCTCTGGGCCTTGGTCCCTCTGATGTCTGTGCAGAGGGACTGACCTGTGCAGTGTTTGGTCACCCTCTCAGTGTTGAATCAATAGCAATGGCCCTGTCTCATGCATCCATCTTCTGCACAATCTTGCCCAGGCCTGGCATGGTAGGTACTAAAAGTACATGAAACCAATGAATTCAGAATGAAAAAAAAAAGAAAAAAGAAAGAAAGGAAAAAAAAAAGCATTTGAGAGCTAGATTGGGCTTGTTTGGATTTTTCAATAAAATAAAATAAAAATAAATTTAAAAAACGAAGATGCAGGCTGGCAGCCTGGTCGTAGTTCGTAGAGGATAATGGTTAGCTGCCTTGGATTTTCTAGAATCTTCTTTATGGTGAAACTGAAATTGGTTTGTGAGTATCAGCTGGCTTGTGAGTCGCCGTCTGCCTGCAGTGAGGCTGTTGGAGGGAGGCAGGAGATGGGAACACAGGGCCCAGTGTTCGTCTCGGGTTAATCTGTTCAAAGCAGGAGGGTGAGGTGTGGCCTGAACGTGCCCATGCCTTTGGTGCTGGATGCCACCTTCAGGCTCAGCCACTCCCAAGCTAAGCCCGTCCATCCTTTGTGCCTGCAGAATTCCATCCGTGCTGGGCGAGGAGCTGCCTGCCTGCGGCCAGCATTACTGGGAGGCCACGGTCACAGACTGCCCTGCCTATCGTCTCGGCATTTGCTTGGGCTCAGCCGTGCGGGCTGGGACCCTTGGACAGGGGGACGCCTCGTGGTACATGCACTGCTCAGAGCCATACAGGTAAGCTCCAGCATGGTCTATAGGGAAGTGCAGGCGGGCATCTTGGAGGAGCCTGAGGTGCGGCTGCCCCACCTTCCCGTGTGGGCTCCAAACCAGCTTGGAAAGGATGCGAGACACGAGCATCTGGGAACTCCATGGTCATCACTCTGATGACCAAGGATGCTGGTCAGGTCTGGACAAGGTCAGACCTGAGGCCAGAAGAAGGAACCTGACCAGGCCAGTTTCTTCGGCCTATGGGGCTTCACAGGTCCCTAGGGGTGCAGAGCTTCGGCTAAAACCCGGTAGTCATCCACGTCACAGCCTCAGAATCACCCTGCCTCTCGCTGCCCTGGCTGCCCTCACTGCCTGGGCCCCACTTTCCTTCTGTCCCACTTGCCTGAGTCCTGTCTGTCCTTTGTGGCTGAGAGTGAACCTGACATTTCCCAGAGCCTTCTGGAAGTTTCCCAGCCCAGCGTGCTTCCTCTGCTGTGGCTGCCTGAAGTGTCTGCCTTCCCCTAGGCTGCCGAGCTTTGTAACTTTGCCCTCTGCCCTCCTTGGTCATCATGGGGCTCGCTCAGGCCTGGTTGCTGTGGCAGACCTCAGTGCTGACACACAGCTTCCTTTTGCACTGAAACTGCTGGTCTCCCTTGTATTTCCTGGCCTCCACACAGCCCTGGCCACCCTCACCCTGCCGGACCCGCAGCTCACCCAGATCCTACAGCCCCTTGGAGCCTGTCTCCTGTCACTTTCCTTCCCTCTGTTCTTCCTTTCTGTTCCCTGCCCTCAGGTCCTTGCCTGCAATGTGGCAGTTTAGTTTCCCTGGCCAGCAGTTTCTCCTTTTCCACCTGGCCTCTAAACTTGTCCTTCACAAACCAGAACAGGTTCATGGCGTGTGCTGAGCCAAGACTTCTGGACAATCTGGCTGGAGGGAGTCTTAGCCATGGTCCCCGATTAAGTCCTGTTCTGTCAAGCACAGATCCTGGGGGCAAATTCCTCCTGGCCCTACACAGCCCCCAAAAACATCGGGGAAGTGCTAGGCATACAGCCCCACACAAATGAGTCTTCACTGAGGCAGCTGGAGGGAGGAGTCCCAGGCAACACTGGGCTGCCAGAGGCCGAACAGCCTGGCTCAGGGCGGGGGGAAGCGACACGAAGGGTGCCATTGACAGTGATGATGAGATCTTTCTAGAACTTCACAAAAAGACCCTTATACCAGGCACCCTTTAAATCGATAAAAATAAGACATTGTACAAAAGGCAAGCCTGTGGGACTCTAGAACACCCCGCAGTCTCCAAGGAGTTGGATTCAAAGCACAACGTGCTGTGAATGTGGTAGTTTAAACATGTGGGCAGCAGGGAGAGGACTGGAACGTGGGAGCAGTCACGCTGGCTGGTTATTCTAGGACTGCCTCCTGATGTGTCGGGAGCAGCATGAACAGCTGAGCTGTGCCGGGGTGAAGCAGTGGCCACAGCGCCACACTCTGTGGCCACTCCGGGGACTGGTCATTTCCGAGCGTTTCCCGATGGAGTTCCTGGGGATCCGCAGAGGTGTTAATTTCCTGTTCTGTGCCCTCTCAGATACACATTTTTCTACGGCGGCATCGTGAGCGACGTGCACGTGACCGAGCACCCGGCCAGGGTGGGCCTTCTGCTGGACTACAGCAACCAGAGGCTTGTGTTTGTCAACGCTGAAAGCGGGCAGGTGCTCTTCGTCGTGAGGCACAGGTTTACCGAGGGTGTCCACCCTGCCTTTGCCCTGGAGAAACCCGGCAGATGCACCTTGCACTTGGGCGTGGAGCCCCCAGATTCTGTAAGGCACAAGTGACCCTCAGCTCTGCCAACTTGCAGTATTCAGATTCTCTCCTGGGGTCTCCCACATGTTGCAGTATCACCAGCACATGAGCAAACCAGCAAGCAAACCTGACCTGATCGAGCGATGTGTGGGTCAAGGCTACAAGAGCCCTGCACCCTTTGGTCTTTCCGTAGTGGGGTTCTTTCCTACATCAGAAGGACTTGTTTTTGGGGAGCCAGCCTAGAGAAGTGGACTGCCACCTGCCACTTCATGTAGGAGGTGCTGGGACAGACAGGTTAGGGTGGAGGGAAGGCTGTGTCCCCAGCACGGCAGCTGCCCCAGTTGCAAGCCACAGGCCTCCTTTGTGGCGCGAGTTACCCCCTTCACTGAAGGACAATGCACCAGTCAGTGCAGAAGGGTTTTCACCGATCCCAGTGCATAACAGACTCTTTTGTAATAATGTACACCATCAAATACCACTCTTTTCCTTGAAGTTTTAAATGGAGAAAAGTGCTAGATATTAGAAGTTCCCACTTTGTTAAATAAATGATTAGATTCTATTTTAAAAATACAGATTATGTGGACTTCTTGCGTCTGACTTAGCAGGTGGGCCTCAGGTCCAGGAGGGTGAGTGCCCACCATGTGTTGCCAGTCAGGCTGCCATGGAGTGTGGCGTGAGAATTTTACACATTTGTACTTTAAATTCTAAACCCTTTCAGCCTCTAGATACAGTCTTACACCAGAAGCTGGGAGTGTATTTTAACTGAAAAGCAAAAATGGGATTGGTCATTTTTAGATATCGTGTTGATATCTTAGAAAACTTTTCCTAAAATATGTATGCAAAATAGAAAAATCCAGAAAGCATGGTGAGTGGATTGCTTTTCTTTTCTGTCATATGAATGCTTTGGTTGTATTTATAATTTTTGAAGATATTGTAATTTCAGGGGTCTTTTGAATTGAGGGGTGGTGTCCCGTGTTTGGAATTCATTGTGCAAACCTGTTGTTCAATAGTGAGAAAATCCATCCTGGATCCATGCGGGCGTGATCGAGGGAGCTTTCAGTGGCCTGCTTGGGTGTTAGAGCAGCCGTCGGCAGCAGGGCGTCCTGGCACCACGAGGAGAAGCTGTTTGCCGGGTGGAAGAGAATAGCATCGTTAACTTCTTCAGGTCTGGAAGGCATCACCAGCCACTCGTTATTATGTTCTTCTTGTAAGAGTCTGTAATGGGATGAAAAGCAGTGACTGTGATAGCAGCAGCCACATGGGTTTTGGAAATTGTCCTTGTCTGAGGTTGCTTCCGACACTGCCCTCTGAAACCTCAGGGCTGGTGGTGCCAGGAGGTGACTCTGGAGGCAGTGGGGCAGGAAGTGGGGAGAGTGAGGCAGGATGGAAACCCCACAGAGGGCCTGGTGTGTGACTAGGCTGTTCCCACAGCGGGAGGACGCTCTGCAAGCATCTGTTGCAGTTGAGGAAGCAGATCCCAGGCACAGCTCTGCTCCTTCACTGCTGGGAGGCTGTGCGCCTCCTAGCGTCCTGTTGTGTGCTGGCATGGGGTGTTATGTCACCACGTTCACCTGCATTCCTACCACAGATGCTGAGTACCGAAGGGCCGGCACTGCTGCCTGCGGCTCTTAAGGCTGCCACCATGACACGCAGAAAGCCCCGCTCCACCATGACATGCAGACAGAGAGCCCCGCTCCAAGGAAGTATGTGCTCCAGAGGCAGCCCTGGGTGACACAAGACTGTACTCCAAGCCCACAGAGGGAGGCACCGTGCGACCGAAGGACAGTGGTGCTTGCACAACAGTGGGGAGTGTTTCCACCTAGTGCAGGGCACAGTAGGAGCTAGGGACCCCTGAGCTGGTAGTAAAGTGTGTAGAATCACAATGGTCATGGATGGGGGCTGCCAACCAGGTGCATGACCATCCAGGAGTGGTATCTGGGGGTGGGGGACCGGCCCCAGAGCACTGTGATATGGCAGGAGCAGGCTCAGGACTGCCCACGTATGCGTGTGATTGTTGGCAGCAGCAGCGGCCGTAACAGCCACATGACTGGCTGCTCAGCTAGGGGTGTGTTGGGTGTGGAGTCATCCAGATGGAGCTGCTGGGCGCTCAAGGCCACAGGCACAGATTCAGGAGCCACCAGCACTAAGTGACTCTGGGAACTTGGGTGGGTGGGTGATCGTTTAACCCTTGGATACCTCAGCGTCTTCATGAGTAAAGTCAGGATAGGTAGGCTGGACCTTCTTCCCGTCCTGGCAGGGAGACAGGGCAGAGCGTCCCCTGCGAGTGTGAGGGCGACACCGCCCAAGGTGAGATGCCTGCTGAGGTGCTGCCACGAAGGATGCTGTACTCTGACAGCTGTGTCCTCTTCCCGGCGTGGGCAGTGGGGTCTGGCATCCTGTGGAGGCTTGCTGGCTGGCTGGAGCAGTGTGAATTATGCGTAGGAGAAGGGACATGAAGCGTGTCCCTGAGATAATCTGGGAAGAGCTGATGGCTTCATCAGGCTGGGGTGACTCGGGATGACTTGGGGGGCAGTTGTCTCTGTATATGCCAGGTTTTAGCACAGGGTCTTACACGCGGTACACAGGATGTAGACGCTATGCAAAGCAATGTCAGAACCTTGGAGATGATTTCCCTTCTCACAGCCAGAAGCCACTGGGCCAGCTTCCCACCCACCTCCCCCCGGCAGTGAGGGCCCTCTCCAGCCCCTCTCGCTGTGAGTCAGGGCTGCCCGTCATCTGTGTGCGAGGCACTTGCTGCTGACCAAGTTTCCACAGAGGGTGAAGGGTGAGGGCAAGCCTGGAGCTGAGAGCCGCCCCTCAGATAGGCAGACATACTTGGCTAAAGCACAAAGAATCTGCGAGCATTGCTCACGCCTGTCAGGAATCAGATCTGGGTTGGAAATGTCAACTCTGCTGCCTCTTACTTCGTCTTCTCTCTGAATTCGCCTCTCACCAAGCAGCGCTCTCGTTTGCAGTTCCCCTTCCTCATTGCGGGCGAAGCTCTGCTCTGCCAAGCTCCAGAAGATGGATAAAATAGGCACTCAGTGTGGAAGGCGGCAGACGCCCACACCGCACGCCCCAGCTGTGTGGGACCTGTTTTCCCCGAGTCGTTTCAGGTCAGGAACACCTCGGCTGCCCACGGCTGCCGCCCAGGGGCCTGCTCCCCACAGCGGGACCCTCTGCGTGGCCGAGGGGTCCTCCCACATTCAGTCCAATAGGACTCCAAGTTCAGAAAGCACAGATGACTTTGCTTTCTTGCCGTTAACGGAGCTTTCTTCTTCAAAAGAACACTAATACCTCCATTGTGGGACTTGGACAGACTGCAGAGGGTGGTGAGGGCGAGGGCCGTGAGAAGGCAAGCCAGCTCCAGAGTGTGGGCATCAGCAAGGGGCATGGAGGGGCCTAGATGGGCAGTCCTGCCTCCCTTCCCCTGGCACTGCTGAGATGCCATTCCAGGCCTCAGCTGCTCAGCTGTACATATGCTCCAGCCAGACTGAAGATATTGTTCTCATTTAAACTATGAAAATAACTTCTACTGGGCCTGGCACTGCAGCCTGGTGGCTAAAGTGCTCGCCTTGTATGTGCTGGGCTCCCATGCGGGCTCCAGTTTACATCCCGGCTACTCTGCTTCCCCTCCAGCTCTCTGCTTGTGGCCTGGGAGGGAAGAAGAGGACGACCCAAGGGGTTTGGTACCCTGTACCCGTGTGGGAGACCCAGAGCAGGCTCCTGGCTTTGGATTGGCTCAGCTCCAGCAGTTGCAGCTACTTAGGCAGTGAGCCAGCTGATGAAGGATTTTTCTCTCTGACTCTACTTCCCTCTGTGATCTGACTTTTCAATAAAAATAAAGAAATCTGTAAAAAAAAAAATAAACAACAAACTTCTATTGAAGTAAGATATATGTTCAGAAAGTTGTGTAGCATTCTTGCTGCTTACCGCTTTTGTTTTTAGCTGGCATGTATAGGTAATTTTCAAATCAAGGAAACCAGCATTATCATTGCCACGAATTGACTCCCTGTTTCCCCTACTTCTAAAACTCCCTGGAAACAAGAACAACCGTGCATCATTGTGGCTTTTTTTTTTTTCTGAGCTCCTGTGAGTGGAATCACAGTTGTCCTGTCCTGTCTTGTTCTGCTCAGCCCTGTGTTGGTGGGTCCCCACACTGCTGTGTGTCATTGTCCTGTCCTGTTCTGCTCAGCCGTGTGTTGGTGGGTCCCACGCTGCTGTGTGTCGTGTCGTCTGTTCCTGTGTGCGCTGGGTGGCATGGTGCAGATCATTTATTCATTCTCCTGTCTGTGAGCTCCTACGTGCTGTCTATGTGAGGGGCTGTTTATAAGTCATCCTGCTCTGAGCATTCTTGTGCTTACCCTCGGGGGACATGTGCCCTGTCTCTTGCGCAAGTTTCTAGGAATAGAATTGCTGGCTCAGCTGGAGCAGCCTGTGTCAAAGTCGGCATGTGACAGCCAGCTCAGCCAGGCGTCGAGTTTCAGGTGCTGTTGCCCCTGCTTACTGCTGCTTCTCTATTTTCATCATAACCGTTTAACTGCACTAGAGGCTGGGTTTGCATTTTCCTCATGCTTATAGAACTTGAACATCTTGGCATGTTTTTATTGACTGTTGGGATAAATTCTTTTTTTAAAAAAATTGCTGTTCAAATCTTTCTCCCATTTCTCCGTTATCTGTCTTTTTGTTGGGATAAGACTTATACGTACATTCTTTTGTCAGTAGATGTTTTGAGAATATCTTTGTCTCTTTCTGTAGCTTAATTTTTTACTATCTTGATGCATTTTGAGAAAGATTTTTAAAGAAGATATATTTATTTTTATTGGAAAGTCAAATCTACAGAGAGAAGGAGAGGCAGAAAGATCTTCCATCTGCTGTTTCACTCCCAAAGTAGCTGCAATGGCTGGAGCTGAGCTGAACCAAAATCAGAAGACAGGAGCTTTTTCGGGGTCACCCATGTGGGTTCAGGGTCCCAAGGCTTTGGACCATCTTCGACTGCTTTCCCAGGCCATAAACAGGGAGCTGGAAGGGAAGTGGAGCAGCTGGGACATGAACTGGCACCCACGTGGGATCCTGGCACATGTAAGACAAGGATTTTAGCCACTAGGCTAATGTGCCAGGCCCAATAGAACTTTTTTAAAAATGTAGTGAAATTCAGTATTTTTCTTTATGGTTAGATATTTTCATGTTTCCTTGGAAAAGTTTTATTGTTTTACCTTAGCTTTTGCTTTTGCGTTATATGCACTTGTATGATATATTGGCTATTATAATCTATGATTGACATAAAGTATTAATTCCATCTGTTTGATGGACTGTATATTTTCTTTTTGTCCAAGAGCAGAACTGACGCAGCCCCATCCGGGGAAGATCAACCCTGTCTCTAGATATGCCATCGCCTTTGTTACAAACGCTTGAGCCGTTTGAGTTGTTTTGTTGCTGTTAGCAGTCAGAGACTCACTCTTGGGGTATATGTGTGTGTGTGTGTGTGTGTGAGTGTGCACAGGTGTGTTTTCCTACACATCCCTAAACATGCTTCTAGAACACAGTTTCTCACACGTGTGGCCAACT